TTCTATGTCTCTAACAGTTTGAATATACCATCATAGTAACTGTCTTAATGTTCTTCTCTCTTAATTCTAACATCTATGCCAGTTCTGGGCCACTTTTGTCTGATTATTTGTCCATTGTGTTTCTCTGCCTCTCAGTTGTGGTTTCCTGCTTCCTTTTATAACTGTTAAACTTTGTTTTGGTGTCAGACATTGCAAATTTTACCTTGTTGGGTGCTGGATATTTTTGTAGCTCTATAAATCATTTTGAACTGGTTCTGGGAGACACAAGTGATTTGGATACAGTTGGTCCTTTTGGGTCTTGCTTTTAGAGTATAGTAGGCAGATTTGGAGCAGTGCTCACTGCAGAGCTAATTTTTCTCTGCTGGTGAGGCAAGACTTACCTGACCACTCTTCCCAATGTCTTGTGAATTTTGACTTTTTCCAGTCCGGCCGATGGAAATAAGTGCTGTTGGGAGCAGACCAACAGCCGTCCCTTGACACAGTCTGGACGGATGAGATGCATCTGCACAGCGGAGGTAACTGTGGCTGGATTTCCTGTCTATCTCTCCTTGCATGTTTGTCTTTGCAATTCATAGGTGGTGGGATTTTTAGACACCTGTATTTCAGGTCCAATGATCCACAGAATTCCAATGAGGTTGTACAAAATGATTTCTTGGCCATAGAACAAATGTCCCCCCCCCCCGATGGGGTAGCCCCTGAACGTCTAAAAGCTGATAAAGTAACAGCCCCTCCTCTACGTTGGACAGGAATATACATTAATGGAATTAGACAGGTAAAGAAGCGGGAGAAGCTGATTAACTATTAAAAACGAAGCATGTAGAAACAATTACTAAGGAGTTAGAGGCCAAAGTACAGAAAGATTCTAGAGAAGAAGACAGATAGCTAAGTTAGACACCACAAAGGCCTTGTGATAAATTTTCTATAACCACTGTTCAGTCTAGGGTATCCTTTTGACCCATGCCAAATTATAAGAACTTTAACAAACATCTATTCATCAATAAGACATTTAAAACCCTGTATATACAGCTATTTCTAATTGTCTGATTGATGGCTCTCCTTGTCAAAATAACCTCTGCTTAACATAACTGAATTAATGGAATTTTCTGTACTTTTCCTAGTTACCTCTGTATTGATTTTTTCTGCTTAACTGATCATGCCATGCACCTGTTCCTTTAATGTTATGTAACAATCTCTACGAAAATAAAGCTTAAATCAAACTCTGTGAGTTCGGTCAGACCCACAGAGGCTGGCTGTTCTCCAGCATCCAATCAGGTGTCTGACTCTTCATTCATCGCCTGCGCTGTCTATCCTTTGGGGACCCTGAAACCTGCCAAGGCTGGACCCTGGCAAAGTACTATTCTGAATCCAGGACGAGTGACAGGAACTAGCCCTTTAGTCCTCACAGGTGGTTCTTTTCACTGGCCTAGGACAGTTTCCTTCTGTGCATGTATTGATCACAAGTCCTCAAGGGGACACTCTTTGCAGATCTCTGGTATTCTGTCTTTGTTAGTCTGTCCTGTGACCTCTAGCTGCTTTCCTCTCCCCGACTCTGGTTCTGTCTCTTCAACGCAGGGAGTGCACTAGCCTGTCTTAGGATCCCTCACTCTCACGGCTTGGAAACTCTCACCATGTACAGTGGGACAGTTGTAAGATGCACCTTCTTTCTTTCCCTGTGTCTCAGAGATCATTGTTCTTTGTTGCCTGATATAGAATATTTTGAAAACTGTTATTTTATATATTTTGTCTTTTTTTTTCAGATGCTTTAGTTGGAATGGTACATCTGGTCCCTGTTAACTTCATCTTGAAGAAAACTTGATTTCCCATCTAGAAGGGGAAATCTAGTTACTGCTTTTTCCTCTTTGAGATTTAACCCTTTCTTTCTTTTTAATTTCCACTTAAAAAAAGTTCAAGGCTTAGAAAACTTGTAAAAATTATCCAAGGAATACCTGTATACACCTTGTCTATATTCATCGAATGTAACAATTGGCTACATTTTCTCTCTCTTTTTCTTTCTTTTATACACACACACTTTAAATACATCATTTGGGAGAAATTTCAGACATCTTGACACTTAGTTAAACAATTCTCAATAAGTCACTTTTCTATTAACCACAATATAACATCCACATTCAAGAAATTTAATGTTGATATGATATTATCATATGATATGTAGTCTTCTTTGATTATCTACTGCTATAGAGACTTAAAACAATTTATTATTATTATATCTCATGATTCTGTGGGTCAGGAATTCAGGTATGGCAGGTATTCGGGCATGGCTCATGACGTCTGTTCTATGAAGCCTGAAGCCTCTGCCAGGAGTGACTCTGAGTGGTTAGGGACTGGAACAGCTGGGAGGAGGCTGGGCATCTCTTGGCTTTTCCAAATGGCCAGCATGGGCTTTCTCACAGCATGGCAGCCTCAGGGTAGCTGGGCTTCTTACGTGGTGGCTCACAGTTCCAAGAACAAGTGATTCTTTTTTTTTAAGGATTTTTTAAAGTTTTTTTTTCCCCCTTCAACCTTTAGACAAGAATATGTTTACTGATTTTGGAGACAGAGAGAGAGAGAGAAACATCTACGCTAGAGAGAAACATTGATCGGTTGCCTCCCACAGGCCCCCTGACTGGGGATCAGACTTGCAACCTAGGTATGTGCTCTGACCAGGGATCAAACCTGGAACTGTTTGGTGTACAGGACAGTGCTCCAACCAACTGAGCCACCTGGCTCGGAAACAAATGGTTCTTGAGGTCACCAATAATACAAATTCACATCACATGTGAGATGACACCATGAGGACTTAATATCACCTTTGTCTTACTTCTGCCCAAAGTGCATACTCGGAATTTAATCATGGGGAAACTATCAGACAAGCCCAAAGTAAGGAATATTCTATAAAACAACTGGCTTGTACACTGCAAAAATGTCAGTGTCACGAAAGACAAAGAAAGATAAACTATTTCAGATGAAAAGAGATGATCCTAATTTGCTAAGGCTGACATAACAGAATACCACAGACTGGTTGTGGCTTAAACAACAGAAGAGTTTTCCCCCCCTCGTAATACTGGAGGCTAGAAGTCCAAGATGAAGTTGTTAACAGATTTGACTTGTTGTGAAGCTTCTTTCCTTGGCTTGCGGGTGGCCACCTTCTCCTTTTTCCTCACATGGCCATCCTCTGTCCGTGCTGTTTGTGTCTGAATCTCCTCTTCTTTATAAAGACTCCAGTCACATTGAATTAGGTCCCAGTTTTCAACTTAACGACCTCTTTAAAGGCCCAGTTTTCAAATATAGTCACAATCTGAGGTAGCGGGAGTTAGGACTTCAACAACAAGTGGTGGTGGTTGGGTGGGTAGAGGGGAATACAACCCATAACAGAGATTAAGAGGATTTCTTTATGTGTGGTCTCAGATTGGAAAAAAGTTGCTATAAAGTATATTATTGAAATAACTGGAAATGAGTATGTATAGTGTTGTAGATTAAAAATAACCTTGAATTCTTTGGCATTTCTCTCACTGAGAAATTAGGCCATATTTATCCTTTAAGTCTGAGCTGCCGTGTGACTGCTTTGACAAAATACAGTGGAAGAGGAAGCAGAAAGTGCTCCTTAAAGGTTGAATTCAAAATTGGCATAGCTTCACTTCCACTTTACTTCATTTGTCAAAGCAGTCACAGACCAGCTCAGATTTAAACAGATGGGAAAGCCCCGGCCCTGTGGTTCAGCTAGTTGGAGCATCCTCAGGTTGCAGGTTTGCTTCCCAGTCAGGGCACATACCTAGACTGTAGTTGATTCTCTGTCCCAGCCTGGATACCAGCCATCCACAGTCCAGACACGCCCAGTCGTCTGTCTGGGCACACGGGGGAGGCAAACAATCACTGCTTCTCTTTCACACTGATGTCTGTCTCCCTCCCTCTCTTTCTCTAGAAGCAATGAAAAAAATATGTCCTCTGGTGAGGATAAAAAAAATGGATGGGAAATATATCCCCATTTCTCAGTGAGAGGAATATTGAAGAATTCAAGGCTATTTTTGATCTACCACACTGTACATATTCAATGCCAGTTGTCTCAATACTGTGTAGCAATTTTTTCCAGTGCAGGAATTTAGATGTCAAAAGTCCTAGTGTCCTTTCATCTGAAACAGTTCATCTTTTCTTGTATTTCATGACATTGACATTTTTTGAAGTGTATGGACCAGTTATTTTGTATAATACCCCTTAATTTGTGTGCCCGCCAGTGTATTTTTGGCAGAAGTACAACAAAGGTGATGTCACATCCTCAGAGCATTACCTCATGTGTGATGCCAAATTATACTATTGGTTAAATGAACTTTGAATACTTGGTAAAGGTGGTATCTGCCAGATTTCTCCAATGTAATGGTACTCTGTCCCCATTGTAACTGGTCATTTCTAGGGAGTTACTATTTTTTTCTTTAAAATTTTCAGAAAGAAAAAAAAAAGCCTCTTCTATATTGTGTTTGACAATTCTAACATCCGATATCCTTGGGGGAGGGGGAGTCTGAATCTGTTGGGTATTAGTTCTGCTAACTGACACTTTTGTGGGGCCCCTTGTGCCTAATTAAAAAAAAAATTGTGAACTTGTATTTGCTTGAATCCTGTGGGACTAAATAAAGGACGCTTCCTCCAGAGCGGGTTTCCACTGTTTGTTCGTGTAGCGCAGGGCACTTGCAACTCTTCAGTGCTCTTCCACGGTCTTGGCTTGGGGGGGGGGGGGGCTCAGGCGTGGGTGTTCTTCCCCGTGTTTCGTGAGCATTTACTTGAATGGAATTGAGGAGGCGCCCAGCACCTATCACAGTATTGGCTCAAGACTTTAAGATCAATTAAGCGACAAACTGTCCAAGTCTCCTTCGCTCTCTGGGTTCTCCCTTCAGCGCCGGTCTGCTCCTTCTGACCTGGGGCGGAGCGCCAGGCGTGGGGAGGAACCCGCCGCTCCGCCCCCCAGGGCAGCGCCGTAGCGACCGATTTGACCGGCAGGGGGCGGAGCCGGCGCTCCCCAGCCAGGCTCAGAAGGCCCGGAGGTCCCATCGCCGGTTCCTACCGCCTCTTCTTTCTCCCGGCGGTGCTGACCAAGGCGTCTGGGGTGAGTACGCGGGCTTTGGCACCTCCAGAGCAGGAGGCGCGTGGGCATCTCCCGCAGGGCTGCGGGTTCGAGGTAGGGCTGGGGGCGTGGGCTGGGGCACCTGGGCTGGTGCGGCCCGGCTTTGGTGGGGCTGTCCTGCCTCAGCACGAGTGGCCGGGCCTGCAGAGGCCGAGCTGGGTGGGAAGCACCGGCTCAGGTGTGGGCACCGCAGCGGTGCCCCTCTGCCGCCGGCTGGGAGCCTGGCGGAGAAGCTGCCTGGTAGGAAGAGATTCGGGGGTCCCTCACTCTCACTTCCAGGCCCGGCTTCACGGTTCTGGGCTCTCCCCCAGCGGCAGCATCGACATGAAAAAGCCTCTTCTTCGCTGGAGTCCTCTTTCTCCGGAGTTTTTACTACAGAATTGACAGTTGACCCCAACCTGGGGGCCTGCAGGGGTTGTGAGAGGCTTCTGGATCTTAAAGTACTTAATACAAAGTGGTAGTCACTAAAAAGTCACTGGGATGTAATCTACAGCATAGGGAATGTAGTCAGTACTAGTGTGATAAGTATGTATGGTGCCAGGTGGGCACCAGACTCGTGGAGGGGGAATCACTTGTAAGTTATACCCTAACTACGATGTTGTACACCTGAACCTAATATAATACTATCAAGTGTAATTGAAAAAGAATGTAAAAATGAAGTACTTCTGGAGGCACCTTCTCCTAGGCTCTGCTTCCATCCACGGCTGTTGATGTTTATTGGGTCTTGCATTAGACAAGGCCTTGCTTAACCTAGGTTTGGAAAAAGAAAAGTTCTGGAGGACCGGGCCTGAGAAGAGAAAGGCCTTTGGGTCGGTAGCTTTAGGACTGCAGTTGTCAACCGAGTGGGCGTGTGCTGGGTTGGGCTGTTCAGGAGTGGGTGACGCAGGAGAACCTTGAGGCAGGCAGGACACAGGGAGACCTTTGTAAGCTGTTTGGGGATGAAAACGAGGAAGAAGATTGTAATTTGAGGGTTGAGCAAAGTTTTCCGTTGTTGAATTTTTAAATATTTAAAGAAAAGAAAATAATATATTGAAAGTGTAAGAAAATCAAGAAATCTTGACTAGGAAAGAATAGGATTAAGGGTCTTGATTGAGGAACTGGGCTTAAAAGGAGAAGTGGAGGGTGATTTTAGGCACCTGGGCTGGGCAGGCGTTATGGAATGTAACTCGAGGGGGATGAGATAACGCTGTATTGGACCACAGTTTATCTTTTTGGAATTTTATCTTCTGGAGCAGAGTTGTCCTTTAAACTCCATGAAATTTCGAAAAATTTCATGATCAATGCTTTGATCTGATCAAAAACATCTGTTAAAGGGAAGTACTGGACTGTTAGACCACATAATCTTGGGGGAGGGATTAAAACTAGCTTTACTGTATTAATTACATTTTATATGCCACTTGATAGAATAAGTATTTAGTATCTACATTAAATTGAGTATTTTTTTAATGTGTACTTTCTCCAGAGAGGCATGCAAGTGATTTAGGAACTAACCATGCCTTTGAAGATCTTTTATTCAGAGTGGAAACATCAAAGCGTATTGGTGGTGGTTTTCTTCTCTTTTTTTAAGCCATCAATGAACAATGGTTTCTCATACCAACCTGGCTTGCTGTTGAAAATATGGATTCCCTGGCCTCACCTCAAGCCTTTGAAATAAAACTCTCGGGGGTGGAGTTTCGGAATAGTAATTTCATACAGAGACCACAGGATTTCTGGCATTGAAAATTATTGATAACCTCTGAGGATTTTTGTTTGTTTTTTTGAGATTTGGGTTTGTTGAGGTTGCTTTAGAACAGATTTACTTGAAGGTTATTGGAGTGAATTGCTGCCAAATTAATGTAACTGAAAGTTATACTCCCCATCTGTTGTGTCATCTTTAAATTTTAAAGGAAAATTATGGAGTCATTTTACCTGAAAAAATAATTGTTTATGATCATAAAAGAAACAACTTTTCTAAATTTACAAAAGTTGTTTCTTTGACAAAAATTAGAAACCCCATTTTAGAAAAATTACAAGATATAGAAGAAACAAAGTTTTCTTAATTCTGCAATTAAGAAATAACCACTAGTAATTATTTCTGGCATTTTACGTTTAAAACACATGAGTACCACACATGTATAGCATAATTGGGATTATATTCTATCTACATTTTTATATATATTTTTTCACTTAGTTATTATGAACACTTTCTCAGGTAAATTTTAATGAAAGCATATGTTCCATTATATGGAGGTTCTGTAGGTAATAAAATCAGCTCCTTAACAGTAACACTGATTCCTTTCAGTTTTTGTTATTTTAGTGATGTTGGTTGATGTCAAAAGTTATTGATATGCACTTGTGAAGTCTGATTTTCACATGTCCTTATAGCTTTTCCTAATTAGAAGGAAAGTTAACATTTCTGAAGGATCTATTACATTTCAGGCTCATTCTCTTATTTCAGTGGTTCTCAAACTTTAATGCATGTAAGAATAACCTGAGGAGCTTGTTAAAAATTCATTTTCCTGAGTCCCAGGCCCAGCTGCTCTGAGAGTAAGTCCTAGCTAGGAACCTGCAATTTTAACAAACTGCCCTCTGTATTAGGTATTATAAGCATTCTTGGAACCACGTTTTGAAAAATGCTTTTTGCATTAATGGCAAAAGACACTCAGAAATTTGGGTCACTTGTCCAAAGCCATTTATATGTCTATTAAGATTTGAACTCAGCTTTTTGTGACTTTAGTCCTTTTTTCCCCATTACTGGAGGCCTTCTCAAACCTTCTCATTGAGGTGTCCCTAATGACTGCAGAAAGGGAACTCTGACCCCACTGCAGGGCTCTCTGGGACAGCTGACAATGACGCATAAATACACATTGAATCTCCATTAAAATCTCCTATTACAAATTCCTATACATTCTGTTATGCTGCATAGCCTATACTGCATATAACAGTTTCAGTCCTTCCCTTGTTAAATTTACTTCGTTACCTGACCATTGCATGACAGCTCTTGCTGTAAAATGGGCCATGCGGGGTCATCGGTATCTCTTGCCCAGATGCTGCACTGTGCGCTGTGGGTTTAGGGAGGAGGATGCAAATGAAGTACTCAGAGTCAGGAGAGAGGGGCACTGCGTTGGAGTGCTCAGTGGCAGAGGAGCAGAAGGCGGTGGGCATGGCCAAAAGAAAGTGCCATTTATTAGAGATGGAGCTTCAGGAAAGTGCTGGAGACTGAAGGGTGCTAGCATGGGGGTGGGGCAGGGTGGGGCGGAGGAGAGCCTTTCGGTTTTCTAAAAACTCCCCAAAATGTAATTTTACTCCCAGTTAATTTTCCCCTTTCCTAATTAATCATTTTAATCATTGTTTTCCTCCTCCTCTTCCCCCTTCTGTTTTGCATTTCATCTGTTTTAGTAGTGTCCTTAAGTATTTTAATGAGCATATCCTACGAAGTAATTTATTATTTACCAAAGTTAGCACTGGCTATGTGTCAGGTCATAGGAATATAAAAATCAGAGATTCTCGTAGAGAATTAAATTAGTTTTACTGTCATATGTTGGATTATACTTAGTCTCCAACTTTTTTTTTAACTTTTAATTAATTTTAGACTTAGAGACAAGTTGAAAAAATATAGAGAATTCACTCAACTTCCTTTAATGTAACCCCTTATATAACCATGGTTCAGTTATCAGTATAATTAACTACAGACCTTATTTGAATTTCATCAGTTTTTCTGCTAATGATAACATTTTTTCAGAGTATTACAATGCTTTAGTAAGAGTCTTGGCTTTGAATTAGTAGCTGAGGTAACAATTACATGAAGCCAGATTAGATGCACTGCATAATATTCATACTTGATTTATTGACACCATTGAGCAATTTTTTAGACAAAGGTCAACTTTTTGTTTTTTATTAAGCACATTCTATAGTACAAGGCTGTCATGAATGATATCTGTACAATTTAACAGTTTTGATAGTTGTTCAGACACGAATTTATTTCAAATGGATAGTTGGCAAACATTATTCATTAACAAGTTAGAATCAGACCATCCTGGTGCTTTAATACATGATAAAGCAGTGATTTGTAGTTGCAAATTACTGCTATAATCCTAGGAAGTTAGAATTTTTCGGGTGCCAAAGTCCCCTGCTGTAATTTAGGAGGCACTATTCAAAGGTGGTGTGCATATTCAAATGCCTTGATTTCCCAAGGAACAAGAACTTCATATTAAATGACAACAGAAAGTCCCTGAAATCAGAAGGATTTCTTTCTGCCTTGTATTTTCTCCCCTCCCTGGGACTCTCCTAAGCAGTTTGCTGGTAACAGTGTAAAATGAAGAGTGGCAAAAGTTAAGTCACTTCACAACTACTGTCAAGCTTACAACATCAGCCTGATGCTTGGAGGCTTATTTTGTTACCCCTTTGTCTTTAGTTATTTATTTTTAATTTATTGATTTTTTTTTTGAGAGAGAGAGAGAGAGAGATCAAGATCGATTTGTTGTCATTGGTTGATTTCTGTGTGTGCCCTTGCTGGGGATCAAACCTGCAGCCTTGGAGCATTGTGACAAACACTCTAACCAACTGAGCTCTCTGGCCAGGACTGTTTTCTTTATACTTTTAGACTCAGCTTCTTCTTTTTTTTTTTTTTTAGACTCAGCTTCTTAAAAACAGGAATTATCTTGTAACATGTGGGAATGTATTTTATTTATTTAAGTTATTATTTTATTGTTCAATTACAGTTGGAATGTGTTTTTTTTTTTAAAAGGAAAAGGCAAAGCCAACCAATGAATGAACCACATACCCACACTGTTCTCAGTGCAGAGGACAAAACGGAGACTAGGGACCGTCCTGTTGGTAGCAGAGTGGGCTTGCATGGGGAGAGGTTTCATTAACAGGAAGTTCTTAGTGGTCCTTTAAAATGTTACTGATATTCCTTGATCTTTAGAGACAACAGCGAGGGGCAAATCAAAACCTGATATTGAACAAGAGAAAAGAAGTGCCAATCAGATGCCAAAATCCTTTCCACATACGGTCAGTATGTGAGATCATTCACACATTTGGTCTGCTGAGCACTCTGGAACTCTGAGGACCTTCTGGGGCCACATCAGCAGGTGACACCAGAGATGACAGGATGGGATTTGTGAACTTCAGTCGTTGTACCACATAGGCATGCCCATCACTCGGGACGGGCCTCTGAACAAGCCAGACCTGGTACTCGGGCTCCAGCACACAGGCAGGCCGGCTAACATCCTGACAAGGCTGGAATGCATGAATTCTAAAGCCGGGAAGCTCAGTCAGTAGGGCCTTCTTCCCTCCCCAGGGTTACAAACCCACAGAATGATGATTTTTTGACAGTGAAGTCAAATGAATACTATGGGAAGTGACTACTAGTAAGTACTAGGAGTACTTGTGAGGAAAAGAACAACAAAAGGTACCTTGCTGTTGTACATACTGCACAACAAAGAAAACATTCTGGCCCTCACTGATATGGCTTAGTTGGTTGAGTGTCTCCCACAAAGTGAAAGTTTGATTTCACTTTGCCAATTTGATTTCTGGTCAGGACGCAGGCCTGGACCAGGGCCAGGTCCCTGGTTGGGGCGTGTGCGACAGACAAGCGACAGATGTTTCTCTCCTGCATTGATGTTTCTTTCTCTCTTTCTCCCTCTCTTTCTAAAAATAAAGAAATAAAGCCTTTAAAAAGTATATAAAAATATTTTGTGTTAAACTTTCAAAATTACATTTTAAAACAAGATTCCCATAAAAAACATACCACACAAACACAATGACAATGGCAAAATAAAAACACCATATGAATACAGCAGGAAGGGTTCTAGACACTGGTATCAGGTTCTTGAGCCCGGCCCAGTGCTAAGTGGGAACACACTCTGTACTAGTGTCTTGGGCATGGGGGAGGTGGAGGGCTTGACTTCAGGTTAAACTACTATGTACATTATATTTACATGTGGATACAGTAAGTTCAGAGGCAAACGTGTAAAAATGTTACTCTACCAAATATCAGGAAATGGTTGAGGTACAGAGACAGTTAATAAAAAGAAAAGAGCTTTATTACTTGTTTGGAGATAATATAACCTGGCTTATAGTTGTTAAATTAAAAGAAATGGTACAGAAAGGAAGTGTAATGCAAAAAAAAAAAATTACTGAAACAACCCAGAGAAATTTTTCCATTATCTAGCATATTTCTAATACAAGTCAGTTCAGAATGATGTGGACCGTCAAAAGGGGATGTTAACTTCTGAAAAGGAAAGACCTGGACATTCTGGGTAAGGGGCAGGCACCCAACATTTTACTGAAGAAGAATGACTTTGTTAATAGCAGACCAATAACAGACAAAGCAATATGAAATAGAGGCCCAGTCTTCTTTCGATTGTTGATTTACTTCTGGAGAACATACTTTTATATGAACAATGTACATTTGAGGCATTCGGTGTTTTTTGCTGATGGAGGAAGGAAGTGGGCTTCTGTCCTACTTGAAGTCAGTGAACCTAAGGAAGTCTCCAAGTGGAGGATGAGATCGGAGGTGAGACACGCCGGTACTTGAAGAGTTACGCAGTTTTGCCTCTGCCCAGCATCTAGAACCAATTGCAACTCATAGCTTTGCTGTGAAGAACTCCCTTAGGTGCTGGTAGCCATGTAGCCAGTACTTCAAGACTAGGAAACTCCGAAAGGGGTAAAGTACAGACTGTTACCTGGAGTTGCAAGTGTATGTTCTCAGGGAGAACAGGTCTCATTCTAGGCACTTGGAGACACATTTAAGAAATCCCAAATCAAAATAGTGTTATCACGAGAGCTGCTAATAATTTGCAGTTCAAGCTGTAGCCAAAACACGTGTCTGGAATTTCCACCAATGTGCATAAGCCCAATGCGGAGACTTGAGGGTCTAGAGCAACTTTTTAAGTCCCAAACTGTAATGCCATCATAGGCCTCGCTGACAGTCCTCTTCTTCCCAAAGCAGATGCATTGGACTAGTTCTTCATGGCCCTCTAGAGCCTTTAAACAGGCACCATTCAATATCCCATAGCGTGGTGGTATTATCTGATGATCCACTAACAACCAGCTGCAGAGAGGCAAGGCCTCACTTGTGCCCATTCAGAATTTGAAGGTACTGGTGCTGTAGACTTTGATGGTTCTGTCACTAGAGGCAGACGTGATGTTCTTACCATCAAAGTCTACTACACTGATAGAAGTGCAGTGGCTGGTCGGGACACTGAGTAAAGTGATTCCAGTTTGGCAGGAGCCATGTCCCACACACTGATAGACAGGTCATCGGAACAGGTTACTATCAGTGCCTTGCTGAAGCAGAAGTGCTGTACAGCCTTGTCTGGTGGATCAGTGTGTCCACATCTTCACCCATGTTACTCTCCCAGACTCTCACTGTGGAGCCCGAAGCCCTAGTCACAATGACAGTTCATCGTCCTGGAGACAAAGGAGCCAGTGTTAACACTTTCAAACATTCCAAGCTGGTTTTATCCCACGTCTTAATAGAATTATCTCATAGGCCACTGAGAATTTTTTTGTCATGATAGTGCAAACAGTAGATGCCTTTACTGTTTTCAGAGTGGCACTGAATCCTCCACAAGTTGTGTGTGGTCTGTATGGCCAGTTAGAATCTGTAGTCTCTATATGCTGCATAATCTTTGGATATAATCTGTAAAATGTATTGCAAGGGACATCTGTGGGTTTGTTTTTAAACAGGTACTGATCCCACCCTCTTCTCTCTGAAAGTTCTTCCACAGAGGGTCAGTGTGCACCATTCACTCCATCAGCTTCTTCCAGAGCATTCCTTCAGAGATCCTTGCTGTCTTGCTTTACGTACAAGCTCTGCTGCACACAGACACCTGGCATGCAGGTAGGAAAGGCTGTTTGCTGCTATGCGATCTACGCCTTGCTCTGGTAAAGTGGTAGCGAAGTCCTCATGCAACAAGTTAATATGTCCATACTGGTAATGATACATTCAGGAAACAGGTGCTCCACAAATTCCACGGGATGTAATTAGACCATTGGTCAAAATAATTCATACACATTTTTTTTTCTTTTTTGATAGTTTCCTTCTGATGGCTTCTTTTCTGTAGATGATCATAGATGATGTTCCATTACTTATCTAGAAAATATTTTGTATTTCAGCCCTGACTGGTGTGGCTCAGTGGGGTGGGCATTGCAAGCTGATAGGTCACTGGTTCAGTTGTGGGTCAAGGCACATGCCTGGGTTGTGGGCCAGGTCCCCAGTTGGGGGCATGCAAGAGACAACTGCACATTGATGTTTTCCTTCCCTTCTCCCTTCCCTCCCTCCCCCTCTCCCTAAAAATAAATAAATAAAATTAAAAAAGAAATTAAAAAGGAAATATTTTGTACTTCAGATCTACCAATCCAGAATGAATTGGGGGTATGCTTTTTAAGAATAGTCTGAGAAAAGACAGCAGTCAAGCAGCTTCCAAGATTGCGTTTACTATATCCAGCTTTCCTCAACACAATCGCAAACATGTACTTCAGGAACTGTTGAAAGACAGAAAGCAATCTATACACCCATCATGGCATCAGCGGGATAGCCACCGATGAGAGGAAGGAAGGGACCATGGCAGAAGGGGTCCACCATGGAAGCAGAAGGGGTCCACCATGGAAGCAGAAGGGGTCCACCATGGAAGCAGAAGGGGTCCACCATGGAAGCAGAAGGGGTCCACCATGGAAGCAGAAGGGGTCCACCATGGAAGCAGAAGGGGTCCACCATGGAATGGTGGATCATGATCTGGATCCTCTTGTTCTCAATCACCTAGGAGGGCTCTGTGGTGATCCCAGGGCGCCACCCCCTCCCTGGAACTCTCCGCACAGCAGTGGAGTGAGGAGGGGGAGGCAGATGTGTTCATTGCACCTCCTCTGGCTGCAAACCTTCCCTCTCGGTAGCAATAGATTTTTTTTTCTATTTCCATAGTCTATCCAGGATCCTACTGATTGCATTTAGTTATTTCGCCTTAGTCTCCTCCAGTCTGATCCTCATTGTCTTTCATTATCTTTAATTATTTTTGACACTCTTTTTTTTTTTTTTCTTCCAGAGAGAAGGGAAAGGAAGGAGAAAGACAGGGAGAGAAACATCAATGTGTGGTTGCCTTTCACACACCCCCTACTGGGGATTTAGCTTGCAGCTTAGGCATGTACCCTGACTGGGAATCAAACTTGTGACCCTTTGGTTTCCTAGCCTGTGCTCAATCCACTGAGCTACACCAGCCAGGGCTATTTTGACACTCTTAAAAAGTACTGATTAGTTATTGTAGAATCAGGTTTTGCGCAAGAGTACCAATTAGAGTATTATCACTGATTCATGAAATTTAATAGATCTTATCACTGGTGATATTAACCTTGATCACTTGGTTAAGGTGATATCTGCTGGGTTTCTCCACTATAAAGGTAACTGTCTTTTCTTTTGGAGTAAATAATTATCCTGAGGGAGAAACTTTGAGACTGTGTAGTTTATCCTCAAATTTTCTCTCACTGATTTCATGCCTGTTGGGGGATCTTGTGTGCACCAGTGAATACAGTGGTGTCTGCCTAATGGAGATTTTTCTCATCTGCTTCCTTATTAACTGGGAGTGAACTCTAGGAATTAGTATGTTTATTTGATCATTTCTATTATTGTGGACTCATGGATATTTACAATGCCACTGTTGACATAAGAAACATCCAAACCTATAGAGAATTTTCTAAGAATTTATTTGAGCCAAACTGACAAGTGCTAGTGTAACATACCCCAATGCGAGCAACAAATGTCGGAAGCCTTCAGGAGTTTATGATGGAACTTTATTGGCCAAAGTTTCAAAGTTTTTACCTGCGCAGGGGCGAACTCTCGGGGTCTCTGGAGACACGGTGCCAAGATGGCTGCAAGTGAGAGTCGCGCCTGGTGCTTACAGCTTGGGGTTTTTATTGGGGTGAGCAAACAAGCAAGCAAGCAAGCAAATACAGAAGCAGACGTGGCTGTTAGCAATTGGCTATTTTGAGAAAACACACACTCATCTCTGCTTACTACAATGGATACTTTTCTGCAAAGACAAGGCCATGCAAAGACAAGGTCATACGCGGGCGGTTTATATTGTTCAGCACTCTTTGTACTTTCTCTAATTTTTCTGTCTCCCTTGCTGAGACAGTCTGGTGCCTGCCTCAGGTTCCTCCTTGCTAATTTTATCTAATTCCGGCCTAACCTAACACTAGGAAGCAAGATCTCAGGTGTTTTGAGCTCTTGCTTCCTAGCACTTGTCAGTTTGGCTCAAAGAATAACAGTTTCAACAGTCTGGCTGGAGAATAACAGTTTTGCAGGTTCTTTTGTGCATTTGAGATTAAGGAGGAAACGAAGATTACACAAGGTGAGAGAAAGCAAGGTGGAGATTGGATTACAGGTTAAGATTTAGTGCTCTCTTGAGGGTGGTTAGGCCTTTGGGGCTATCACTTCTGACATTTCACAGGTATGTTAACCTAGATACACAAGAACAATGGACAGGGTTTACTCACTAACCTTTCACTAAAGAAGTTACAGGCCTGAGGTGTGATTGCCCACCAGGACCTACTCTATTAGGAATATGATTTTTTACAGATTTTCATCTACAGCATCATTTTCTTTCCTGAAATGCTTCCAGTTTTTGCACATTAGGAGCTCAGTCTTTGAGTTTAAATTATGACGTGTGCATATAAATGGCTGCAATTTCTATCCCACCCTTGCCCCCCACCCAGGGAACCCTTGCTTCTTTAGGGTCTGGGCAGTGATTACTCAGAAACCAGGCGACAGAGCTCTAATTGGGAGAGTGAATACCAGAGGCCCAGGGATGGTAGGACAATATGTGCAAAAAACAGCTCTCAGTACTCTTCTGGAATGAAAGGAGTGGCAAATTATCAGCCTTTGCGCTGGCGCTGCCCCAGGGAAACCCGAGGGAGTAAGACCTGGAGCCCCGGCATGCCCGGCATGAGAGCCTGTGTCTTCAGGATTACCAGGTGGATTTAGAAACATCAGGTTGCTGTGCTGTGGCAGCCAAATGGAGACCATATCCTTTCTTCCCAGTGGATAAGTACTTAGGAAATATTTGTAGGGCGATACCTCATGTCCTGCTTGCTGCCCCCCTCCATGCCTGCATGGTGGTACAAAATTTGTGTGTGTGGAGATTCTCCGTGAATGATACTTAGCGCTTATGCTGATTTACCTTTTGTTGTAGTTTGTCTTCTTTACCAAATTTCTTTCTTTTATTATTATAAAAAATTTCAAGCATATACAAAATTAGAGAGAAAAAGAAAATAGGTACCTGAACCCGCAGGTACCTATTACCTAGCTTCAGTACTTCCAAATATTTTGCCAATCTTATTTCATTTATTTCCCCACCTTCGAGTTGGGCTAGCCTATTTGCAGACAAATCACAGGCATGAACGTCTGAGACAGGATCGAAATAAACTCGGGAGTGTAAGGAGTATATACCTCGGTTCCCTTTGTGTGCCCAGCACTGCACCTGAAAATAGCGAGTGGTCAGAAAAGACGGGTTGAGTTGAGAAGAGGAAAAACAAAATTATGAAAACATCATTTTGAACAAACTCTAGGGCAAACTTCTATAAAGGAAGAGGGTGGTGAGTCTTGCCCTAAAATAACTTCTTTCATGTTACCTGAGTTTGTTTTCTGTGCCCACGAGTCCCTTTATTTCAAGACAGCCTTGACTGAAAAAGAAAACTCTCCAGAGAGAGTTCAGGGCCTCTCAGTTTTTAAAATGTTATTATAAATAAGTCTATTCTGATAACATTTTCCCCAAACCTCAACCAGGAGTTACCTGCCCTAAAAGAACTTTTGTTTAAAAATTCTTATGTTTTTTAATGAAACAAGAAATGAAAAATAAAAATCATCTGTATTTTAGTATGTAGCTACAGAGGGAACACTATCGATTAGCATTCTGGTAAACTTTGAGCATGAATACACTGATAATCATGGTCAATAAATATTTCTTCAGACTATTCCTTCCAATAAGTATGTTCCTTGGAATGTACCAGGTGTGTTTGTGTCTATAATCTCATTAAATTCTTACAGTAACTGGTTTAAGATTTTTTAAAAACTATTTTCTAGCTGGGGAAAACATGCCTAAAGGGATTGTCTTCAGTCACTTAGCTGAAAAGCAGGCTGGGCCGGAGATCTCTCTTCAAAGACAATTGTATTACAGATTGTTCACACTTTAGATGTTCACTCACAGGAGCAAGGACACCTCACACTTGAACTTCCTTCATACCGGCTCCTCTTAGAGTCAGTTTCGAGGAGAGCACCAAGACTGGAAAAAGTAAGAAGTGATTATTTTTAACTGGATCCCACATAGTCTCAATAAGCAGGGTTAGCAATGAACACTAATCATTAAGTACTGACTAAGAATGTCTCCTTACTTTCATAACAAATTTCTTATCTTTGGATAAATTCCTTGTGCTGCAGTTCAGCAGTCAGGGTCTATGATTATTCCAAGCTGTTTGCTTGGGTGGGTTTTTAAATCTCTCTAAATCACACTCCTACCCTTTGTAAAATGCTGGGGGGATGATGTGTGTGTTTTCCACTGCAGCACCGTGATCAGAAAAGCCCCTTCAGGCAGGCAAGTCTCCTTGTCAGGGGACCATCCCTCCACTGTTCCCAGTCTAGATTTTCTAAGACTGAAATTTTAATAAAAAATTGCAATCCTAGCATTTAAGCTTCTTGCAATTAAGTCTAAAGAGGTCGTCTGATTGGCTCCAGGAACCCACAGAGTTACCTGGAGGGAAGACAGAACTCCAGGAAGCCATTTGAATAAACAGGCCCAAGGAAAGGGATGGGGGGACGTGGGAGAAAGGTAGAATGCTGCTGAAAACTACACAAAACAAAAACCAACCAAAACGAAAAAACCCTGCATATTTCAAGGGTTTGTATTGGGTGCACCCAGGCCCCAAAGAAAGATTGAAATGTCCGTGTGGAGGGCGTGGCGGAGGCCCAGGTGTTGGAGCTGACCAGATGGGCTTAAGCCCCAGCTTCACCACTGCTACTTGAATGGTTTGGAGGAAAGCTTTTAATCTCTCTAAACCTTCATTTTCTCCTCTATAAAACAAGGAGACTGATAATTTTTACCTCATGAGGTTGAGATGAGAATTCAATAAGGTAATGCAAGTGATTTAACCCCAGTGCATGGCACAGAGTAAATTCACAAATAGATTGCTCTTAGCTGTTATTTCTTAGGGTACCTTCCAGACTAAAAACAAGCCATATTGCTTAATTGCTTCCTGCATCACATCTGTTGTGGCTTGGCAGGAACTTCAACTTCTTTTGTTACATTGTTTCTAAAGAAAGATGCTTTCTATGTTTCCCTCAAACAACCTAGAGCTAAATTTTTGAAATACTACCCTTCAGTAAGTATGAGGCCATTTTAAGAGTTGCTAAGACTTTGTTTTTGTTTTTCATAGTAAATTATCATATCCCCACATATCATTAAAAAAAACCTTTTTATTATAAAAGAACAAAGTAGATCATACAAAATTCTGACAAGAAAAGAGAAAAATACACCCCTGGACAATCCCATATTCCTGATAACAATTATTGCTAGCTTTTGGCTATTTTTTTCCCCTAGAGTTTTATTATTTCTGTAATTTTAGTGGTAATCATGCATGCATATAGAGTTTATTTTCTCTCTTTTTTTGTTACTTAAGTTTTCATCATAAACATTTCCATGTTGTCACTTAGCATAGAAAATATTTTCACCTCCATTCTATTCATTTAATTGAGGGTATGTTTGGCTATCGACGTTATCAGCGCTCTGGCTTTACCCTTTCTGCATTCTTCTGATAACATGTATAGAATTAGAGGAGAGATGTGATTTGGGCAATGCAGAGTGGATGTGCAGGCTTTGCTGCTCACAGGTCATCTTCATCACCTTAGAGTGCTCACCATGGTCCTGTTACAGAAAACAACTCAGCCGCTTTCAGGTGTATGGAGTGGAACTTTACGCAGGGACCCAGAGGAGGCAGTCTCCAAATTCTGGGCCCCGAGCTCAGGCAGGGGCTTGTTTATATAATGTGGCATGCAGAAGCGATTTTACTAAGCCTACGTGGCAGAAGCAGGTATACAGAACCAAGAAAGCAGGGCTGCTGATAAGGTCAGACAATGTTATTTTGTTCTTACTTCTTAGTTACTTAGTTGCTCACCCTCCCTTATCTTAGTGGCTCAGTAAAGGGACTGTGTGTTTCTGACTTGTCTGGGCTTGTCTAGGCAGGTTTCCTGCTACAGTCCGAGTGGGCCTTCACCTGTGTGGCCTTAGAAACTGGATTTTCGTCAGTAACTAAGAGCATAGTTACCTCTCAGAGATGGAGTCATACTGAAGTGTGAAACCAGCTTGGCAGTTTATCAAGTGACAGTGAGTACAGTATAATAGAGTCATGGTCCTGGCAGCTGCACCTCCAGTGTGTCCACCTATTGGCCCTCACTAATACAGAGTTACTTAAAGTCAAAACTTGTAACAATGTCAACAGTGATAGTCACCATGGGTGCTTACTGTGCATCAAGAGGTGGGCTAACACTTGATAGATGAATATATTAGGAATTCAGGGGTGTCAAACTCATTTTCACCGGGGGCCACATCAGCCTTGTGGTTGCCTTCAAAGGGCCAAATGTAATTTTAGGACTGTACAAATGTAACTACTCCTTAACAGTTAAGTGAGAGCTCGGTGCTGCTGCTGGGGGGAAACAAGGTGCCACTGGATTTGGCCCACAGGGAAAATGGATTTGCCACCTGTGCATTAGGTCAGCCAGTCCCACAATAACGTCTCTGGGTGGGACTATATTTATCTCCACCTTGTAGAAAAGACCAGGTTTCATGGCCAGTATGTGGTAGAGCTGTAGTTTCTGTCTGAGTCAGAACTCCTGACCTTAAACAGTTTTGCCTCGCATTCTTACAGGTGAGTGGCCTCCTGTGTCAGCGCTTTCTGATGTTTCTTCAAACCCCGCCCCCCCGCCTCCCTGACCATTGGGATGTGACCGGTGCCAGTGCCTCCTAGTGAAAAGCCTCGCTTTTTCATCCCCTGTTGAGTGACACATTTTTCTAGCTCCCACAGAAAAGAGCTTTTGTCTCATTTTCCGTAAGGAGATTTCACTTGTTGCTAACTTTCTCTTAAAGCTGTGCCAGGAGGACTGTCAGGCTGTGTTTTAGGCTGTGCCCAGCTCGGAACTAAGGGGATATTTCCAGTCCCTGCTTTCTCCGCTGTGCAACATCTGGACATGGCTTTTCTCTCAAGTGACAGCCAGCCTGGGTGATGACCCAGGGAGGACTCCTTTGATGTGTATGTGGTTGGAACTTTCTACCTCTAAAATCTCTGAGTTTCTCATTTCTGAACCCTGCTAGGAGAACACCCATTACTGTTAGTCAACTTCTGTCGGGGATGGGTTTTCTCTGTGTGCTCAAGGGAATTATTTCAGGATAGGATATTCTTTTGAGACCTGTCTTTGTGATTGCCTTCTAGAGACTGTTGGAGGAGAACTACGGAGCAAAAGCAGGCCTTGTGTCTTTAGTTGTCATCTGTTGTGCAGTCGGATCAGAAAAGTTGTACTTGGAGCTTCCTGCCCGCGGAGAGGCAGACTGATACATCTTGCTCACGTAATAATAAAAGACATGGGCTTCCACATGACTTTCTACCTTTCCTACAAATTCCGATTACTGCTGCTTTTTACTTTATGCCTGACAGTGGTCGGGTGGGCTACCAGTAACTATTTTGTAAGTGCTGTTCAAGAGATTCCTAAAGCAAAGGATTTCATTGCTAATTTCAAAAAGGCCATGGTTTTGGGGAAGAAAGAAACTCTGATGAATGAAGCATCTGTGCAAAAAGCAGCCCTTGACAACTGCCCTTTGGTTTCTCCATACCTCAGTGAGTATTTTCCCCCCTATTTTACAAGTGCTATGTAAACTTTATTGTATACATGTATAGGAAAGTGTGGAAACCAGAAGTGTACAGCTTGGTTAAGTTTCACAAAACGAACATACCTGTGCAGCCAGTATGTAAATTAAGAAATGGAATATTCTTTGAACTCTGGAAGTTCCCATACCTCTTTCAGTTACTACCTTTATTTCACGTTTCTAACACCATCCACAGATTTTTCCCTGTTTTTCAACTATGCATACTTGGAAACATACACTGTATACTCTTTTGTGTCTGACTTCCATTGTTCAACTCTCATTGTTATGTTTGTGAGCTGTGTCCATGCTGCTGATGCAGAGTGTTCCACTATTATGAACATAGCCAGTTTGATTATCCAGCCACAAAAGTCTTAGCAGCATACACCAGTGGGCATTGTTTAGCTCTCAAGTCTGTGGCATGAGCTCAGGGTCAGTCGCCTAGACTGGTGGCCCTGCTCCATGTGTCTTCCTTCTCCTGGGACCAACAGGCTGAGCTGGGCTTGTTCCTGTCCTGGCACCTGTGGACCACAAGTGGAGAAACACAAGCACATTTAAGCCTCCACTCGTGTCCCATCTGTTAGCGTCCCCTTGGCCAAAAGCATGCAGTTGAGGGACATGACTATGCCTGTCCTTCAATGTTGTGTTTAGTGTTTATTTCTTAAATATCTTGTATGTTATGATTCCCCTTTAATGTCTTGCTTTTCAAGTTCAGTGGACAGTAAATTGGTTTTAGTGAACACGTAAATTAGAAAAACTCCACTGTGATATTATATATCAAACCTCTGATTCTCCAGAACATTAAAGTGCTAGTAGTTTGCCAGACACTCCTCCGAGCCTGGACATTGTCCCCTTTTTCCAGAATGCCTTTCCTCAGTTCATGTCTGCCTGGCAGACTCCTGTTTGTTCATCAGTAGTCTAGCTTAGATAACTTCTCTCCCCGAGAGGTTTCGGGGACTGCCCCAGGGTTCGTCTCACACTCCCTGTGTGTCTGCCTGTTTCTGTTGTGCTGCCCACCGTGTCGTTCACGTGTTTGCTTTTCCTCCCCAGGGCACAGCGTGCAGGCAGGATGAAGGCTGGGTGGGCTTTTCCAGTCTGCAAGGTCCAGTGCCCCTAATTTGGCCTACAGAGGTGGCTCTCTCTACACTAAATTAACTCTTTGTGGGGCAGCCTGGGGCCTGTGGAGGCTTTTTGCTCTTAACGGAAACCTGCAGACCAGCTTTTCTCACTGAATCCCAGTCTTATATTGTGCTCACATTGGCATGCTGCTCCTCCTTACCCGGTCCTGGGAAAGACAACACGCTATTCCTGACTATGTGAGGGGATTATTCTGTTCACAAAGTACACAGGCTGAGATAGGAAAATGGGTTGCTGAAATGCAGAACTGGTGGTGTTATCTTGTTCAAAATCCTTACAACTTGTTGAAGTGATAACTGCATTTATAAAAATAGATGGGCGGTGACACACGTTGAGCAAGCACCTGAATTAAGAGGGTGACATAATTCGTGATGGATGACAAGGGGCCAGAAGGAACAAAACTTGAGAGGGTGTCATGAGGGTGATAGGGTGTTGGGGGGCTCTGCCCACAGGGTTCCCCCATCCACCAAAGATGAGAATAAGTCTACCAAGACATGATGTGCTTGGGGAGGAAAGGTGGTGGATCTCTCAAAGGAGAAGGACCATGAACCTATTCCTCAATGGGCTTTTATTGGGTTTAATTTGCATAGGAATACACAGTGTATACTTAAAGCTCATGAATCGCCCTGGCTGGTGTAGCTCAGTGGATTAAGCACAGGCCTGCGAACCAGAAGATCCCAGTTCTATTCCCAGTCAGGGCATATGCCTGGGTTGCAGACCAGTTCCCTGCAGGCTATTTCCCAGCAGGGGAAGCACTAGAGGCAACCATACATTGATGTTTCTCACCCTCTGTCCTTCCCCTCTAAAGATAAATAAATAAAAAATCTTAAAAAAAAAAAAAAAGCTCATGAATCATTGTCAGGCAGAAATTATTTAACAATAGATAACATTAAAAGAACTCTGAGGGCTTATTCTGGTCAGCATCAGAAAGTTAAAGGACCATAAAACTTTGGGGAACAACTCATTTCAGGCTTGGACCCTTATCATTTAAATTGAGGATATTAGCAAAGCAGGTTTCACAGGATTTTATGTATTCTTTCTTAGGCCTGATCGCCCCAGGGAACCTGCCCTTTCCAGCACAGGGCCGCCCCCACCTCTGGCATTGTTTCAGGCTTAAGTCAGGCAGGGCAAGTAAGGCAGCCAACAGATTAGGAGACTTCTTGCAGACAGAATGAGGACTCAGACTACATCAAAGCTGAGGGATGAGGACCCCAAGTCCTTCCCCGAGGACCCCTTCATGACCGTGTCTGTCTTAGGTTGTCCCTCCTTTGAGGAATCTTACCTGTCATTGGCTGACCAGTCAGGCTTGGGGCCAAGCAGGGTGCAGTAAAGGGGGCAGAGGCTGTGCCCCTGCCAGAGAGATAAGCTTGGTCTCCTTAGTGGCCTAGGGTCTCAAGGTCTCTTACTCAGTCTTAGCCATGGGGGATTATAGCTTCTGAAACCAGGCAGGGCAGTTCCCAACAGTAAGGAGACAGGTAAAGTATGTGGAAACAGGTCTTGGGCAATTAGGGCTACGAAACGTCGTGACAGTGAGAAAGTGAGCAAGGGGACTGGTTTCTGTCAGGCTGTTGCATGGGACTCTTTCAGGGGCCCAGAACAGAAACATGGACAGTTAACTTGGATGGTGGGCCTTATTAACAAGCTGCACAGGAAACCACCTCAACAGCCACACCACCATCCTCTCCCAGCAGTTCTGTGGCTTCGCAGCAGCTCCAATAGATTGCCTTTCACATTATTCATTTTCTTGGTGTTTGTTTTTAGGGCATTGCTCCCTTGCCATCTCTATGTCTCACATGCAGAACCCTCAGGAAAGGCTCTTTCTTGTAAGCCAGTTACTTTCTCTATGTGGCTGTAAATAGTTATTTTCCCTTGGTGCTTTTTGGCAGAGTCCTTTATTTCATGGACAGTAGAGCCTGGTCTCAGAAGCCACAGCCATGGCAGGTGTTGGTCACCTGAAGCAAGGTACCATGATATACATAGGAAGGGCTTGTAATTGCTTTGCTCACAATTGCTTTGCTCAGAAGAGGATAGCACCACTTGCAAACAACTTGAGATTTTACAGCCTGACCATTGTCTATGGATTTGTCACAAAGGGTGACTCAGTTCCCTAACTGAGCTCTGCAGCCTTTCTTCCTAGTCAGTATTTCCTGTTAATTCAGATCCAAAAGAAAGGTCAGTGGCTTCAGCCTGGTCTCTAAAGCCTTACATGAGTTTGGTTACCATGGATGGCTCTTAGGTTTTGCGAGGCTGCATCCAGACTTGCAGAGCAAATGTCTGCTGCCACCATGGCACAGTGGACACTTCTGGCTGTGTTGCACATGCCTGCTCCTGTTTCTGCTGGGTTAGGGAGTGAGGCTAGTCTCTAGCGAATAGGTATGCTCTTGATTTTTTAAAAAAATATTTTATTTATTTACTTCCAGAGATGGGGGGGGGCAGAAAAAGAAGGAGAGAAGAGATAAACATCAGTGTGTAAGATTTATTCGTTGCCTCTCATAAGGCCCTCAACTGGGGACCTGGCCTGCAATCCAGGCATGAGCTGGCAGCCTTTCAGTTCACAGGCTAGTGCTCAATCCAATGAGCCACACCAGCTAGGGCAGAATGCTCTTCTTTTTTAAAGAGGTTTCACCCTCCTTTGGAATTTTAAGACAGAAACAATGGATAGAGCACATTTAAAGTTAGTCTAGTCCTGACTTCTGCTTTTCACGAGGGTCATCAGGACGGAATGCATTTCTTTTTTTTTTTCTTTTTTCTTTTGGTTGTCAAATGATCTTTAATTGAAATATTTCTTCATAGTTCTTAAGTAGCCAGCTATTTGCCTGCACACTATTGATGTCATCTATGGTGTCATGAGGGTGGCAGGTGTCAACATTGCAGCCCACAGACTGGGCCATCCCCAGGGTCCCTATAATGGTTCCAGAACGTTCTCTAGCTGAAGATCAGTGCGGCAGATGTCAGGCAATGTTGACAGTCTCGTCAAAAGTGGTATTTCCGTTGTGCTTTGTATTTTCTTGCTTCTTTCTGTCTTGTGGTGGTTCTTTGAGGGCTTTGATGATCAGGGCAGAGGCAGAAGGGGGTACCTCAGTCTGGGCCTGTCTTCTGAATGGTCAGTTTCACCGTCATCCTCAGACTCTTGCAGTCACTGGTTGCTTTGGTGATGTCATCACCAGCCTCTTTTGGAGACAGGCTCAGGGGACTGATATTGGGGACCAGGGCAGACATGGCATCAGTTCCCCCACTGGTGCACCTCAGGTGTATGACTTTGATCTCCTTGGGGTCGAAGTTCAGCGGCATGGTTGGAGGTGGCTGGTGTGGGATGAACCCAGATTTGGCATGACCGAAGAAAGTTGCACCTTCTCCTCCTCCAAGCTGAAAGCTGAAAGTGGTACAGAATGTATTTCTCATTTATGGATGAATCACAGAGCCAGAGTTAGCTACCCAGGGAATGTTGGCCAACAAGGGAAGGCTTTTGTATGTCATTTTCTTGCTTTTGTAGCCAATAACCTGGGCCATGTGGTTCTGTGGTTATAGTTTATGACCCAAGAAGGCTTCAAAGTAGTAATAATAAAAGCTAACACATATAGCGGGTCCCAGGCAATGTTCAGAGTCCTTTATGTGTGCCAGCTCATGTAAGCCTCTTACCATTCGATGAGATAGCTACTGTTGTTTGCTCTGTCCTGTTTTAATTGTAGGAGGTGAGGACAAGCTCACTTTCAAACCAGATCTTACTCTGGAAGATGTGCAGGCAGAAAATCCCAAAGTGCACAGAGGCCGGTATCACCCTGAGGAATGCAAGGCTTCACAGCGAGTTGCTATCCTCATTCCACACCGGAACAGAGAGAGACACCTGATGTACCTGCTAAAACACCTTCACCCCTTTCTGCAGAGGCAGCAGCTGGAATATGGCATCTATGTCATCCACCAGGTGAGTGTGGGGCAGACCAGGGCTCTGCCTCAGATTCTTCTCTCTCTGATGTACTTGACCATTTGTCTGTTTTGGTAAAAAGGAATGTCAAACTATTGTCATAGGAGAGGTCTTTTACCTTGTTCATCCTCGAAACGAATAAAGGAAATTCTAGTCTCAGAGTGGGGAGTAATGGGACTTAGTGCTGGGAAATTTTACTGCCTCTTAAAAACCTCTGGAGGAAGCCTGTTGTCAGCCCTTCCATGTCAGCCAATGACCGTTCTGTCATTTCCCCCCGAGATTTACCTTATGTTTCCCTCTGCCTTTGCTGTACACCACACATGAGATGTTGACATTGTTTTGCATTTTTTAGCATGGTTCCTCCCTGGGGACCTAGACAGCGTGTTTGACAGACTGCTGTCTGTTACTAGCCATGGAGCTCTGCAACCATGTCCACCGTTCTGCCTGTAACTTCGCCACTATTTACTACGTAACACGTGTTCAATTTTCACTATTCAGGAGGCCGTGATTTATTTATTTACTTATTATTTTCCTCCCTTTCTTTCTTTTCTCTCTGTTTCTTTGTTTTCACTTTCTTGATTTACTTATTTGGCTTCCAGAAGCATGATTTAGTAGGAACACAGTAAATGCGGTAGCTGCTTTTGAAGAATTTAGCTTTATGTGAAATGGCTGATCACAGATGCCTTTATTTGGTATTAATGTTTATTGAAAGAAAAAGTAAGGCATCAACTTAAATGTCCATGTCTAGGTTTTCAGAACTGCCCTGGGCAATTCCTTACAAATCCTTACAATTGCTAAAAGTGAAAGAAAATAATCAATTTCACCCTTATTATTGGTTATAAGCAGTAATGTTTGTTTTGTGAAAACTTTTGACAAATCAGAGGATACAGCTCTGCAGTGTACACTTTACAATAAACTGGGGTTCGTAAAAATTAATGGGCATATATAATATACCTATACCTATTACGTGAAATAAAATTTTACTATATTGTTTTATAATTATTTTTGTTCTTAACATCGTTAATCATTCTGAGCCACTCCCAATGTACAATATTTTGTATAATAGAAAAATATGTCTGCTTTGTGTTGATCTTTTCAAGAAAGTACTGTGATAACTTTTTTTTTTTTTTTAAACCCGGGAATTTTTTTTTTTTATTGATTATGCCATTACATTTGCTCTATTCCCCCCTCCCTTCCCCTCCACCCTGCATACCCCTCCCCCACCATTTCCCCCTTTAGTTCATGAACATGTGTCTCAAATTCTTTAGATTCTGTATTTCCCCTACTATTCTTACCCTCCCCCCTATCTATTTTCTATCTACTGTCTATGCTACTTATTTTCTGTACCTTCTCCCTCCTTCCCCTCCTCCCACCCCCCTGTTGCTAACCCTCCATGAGATCTTCATTTCTATGGTTCTCTCCTGATCTAGCTGTCCTCTTAGTTTGCTTTTGTTTTAGGTGTGGTTCTTAATAACTGTGAGTTTGCTGTCCTTTCACTGTTCATCTTTTTTATCTTCTTTTTCTTAGGTAAGTCCCTTTAACATTTCATATAATAAGGGCTTGGTGATGATGAACTCCTTGAATTTGGTCTTATCTGAGAAGCACTTTATCTGTCCTTCCATTCTAAATGAAAGTTTTGCTGGGTAGAGCAATCTTGGTTGTAGATCTTTGGATTTCATGACTTGGAATACCTCTTTCCAGCCCCTTCTTGCCTGTAAAGTCTCTTTTGAGAAATCAGCTGACAGTCTGATGGGAACTCCTTTGTAGGTGACTGTCCCCTTAGCTCTTGCTGCTTCTAGGATTCTCTCCTTCATTTTAATCTTGGCTAATGTAATGATGATGTGCCTTGGTGTGTTCCTTCTTGAGTCCAACTTGTTTGGGACTCTCTGAGCTTCCTGGATTTCTCGGAAGTCTATTTCCTTTGCCATCTTGGGGAAATTTTCCTTTATTATTTGTTCAAATAATTTTTCAACTGGTGGTTGTGCTTTTCCCCCTTCTGGTACCCCTATAATTCGGATGTTGGAACGTTTAAAGATGTCCTGGAGGTTCCTAAGCTTCTCCTCATTTTTCTGAATTCTTATTTCTTCATTCCTTTCTGTTTGATCATTTTTTTCTTCCGTCTGGTCCTCTCCCTTGATTTGAGTCCCAATTTTCTTTCCATTACTATTGGTATCTTTTGTATCACCATTCATTTCAATTAATTTAGCTTCCATATGTTTCTCTAATTTGTGACTAAAATCAACCAGTTCTGTAAGTATCCTTATAACCAGTGTTTTGAACTGTGCATCTGAAAGACTGGCTATTTCTTCATCACTTAGGTCTATCGGTTCTGGGGCTCTGAGTTGTCCTAGAGCCATTTTTGGTCTATTCGTGCTGTTAAGTGAGCGGAGCGAAGCCTTAGTTGTTTACCAGGACGGGGCGACCCAGGTCGCTGGTTTGTGACGCTGTGTGTGGGGGCGGGGTCAGAGAGGGAGCAATGGCGGTCCTCTCCGCTAGCCCAGCGCATCCAGTCACTCACACGCCTCGGGCTAGCTTATCCGATCCTAATTGTGCGAGCCTGCTGCACCGCGCGGGTTTCCCTTCTCACTGGTTTCTCCGCACGTAAATGCGCGCGACCGACCGACCCACCGCGCCTCTTCCCTGTGCGCTCTGGGCAGCCAGCTCGCTGGCGAACAGCGCCCTCGGTTGCCTGCGCGCTCCGTGCACCGCCCCGGGAATTTTTTCTTGCTAACCTGCTCCGCTGCTGGCCTCGCTCCTCGTACTCTTCCAGCCGAGTATCTAGTTGTCCTTTGGACTCCGTATTGTCGATTTTCCATGTGGCTTGGTTGTGACTGCTGTTAAAAATAGTTGTTCTTAGATTTGGTTGTGCACAGAGGTGAGGTGGATCCTCCACCTACTTCTCCATCTTGGCGGAAGTGTACTGTGATAACTTTTGAGAGAACTGCCTGTATTTTTGTTATGATGAACTATTTATCAAACTGGAATTTATTCTGAAGGAATTTGATCCAAACAGCCATGAAAAAAATTAATACTGTAAAATTTTTTCCATACCATAGCCATAGTCTTTTTTTTAAATTATGTATTTATTTTTTTTCCTCTTTTTAAAAATATATTTTATTGATTATGCCATTACAGTTGTTCTATTTCCCCCTTCATTCCCCTCCACCCTGCACACCCCTCCCCCACCATTCCCCCCTTTAGTTTATGACCACATTTTGAGTTCTTTTGATTCTATATTTCCCCTACTATTCTTGCCCTCCCCTATCTATTTTCTACTTACTGTCTATGCTAATTTTCTGTATCTTCTCCCCCCTTCTCCTTCTCCCACTCCCCTGTTGCTAACCCTCCATGTGATCTTCATTTCTATGGTTCTGCTCTTGATCTAGCTGTCCTCTTAGTTTGCTTTTGTTTTAGGTGTGGTTGTTAATAACTGTGAGTTTGCTGTCCTTTCACTGTTCATATTTTTTTATCTTCTTTTTCTTAGGTAAGTCCCTTTAACATTTCATATAGTAAGGACTTGGTGATGATGAATTTCTTTAATTTGATCTTATCTGAGAAGCACTTTATCTGTCCTTCCATTCTAAATGAAAGTTTTGCTGGATAGAGTAATCTTGGTTGTAGGTCTTTGGATTTCATGAGTTGGAATACTTCTTTCCAGTCCCTTCTTGCCTGTAAGTTCTCTTTTGAGAAATCAGCTGACAGTCTGATGGGAACTCCTTTGTAGGTGACTGTCCCCTTATCTCTTGCTGCTTCTAGGATTCTCTCCTTCATTTTAATCTTGGCTAATATAATGATGATGTGCCTTATTGTGTTCCTTCTTGGGTCCATCTTTGGGACTCTCTGAGCTTCCTGGATTTCCTGGAAGTCTATTGCCTCTGCCAGATTGGGGAAGTTCTCTTTTATTATTTGTTCAAATAAGTTTTCCACTGGTGGCTGTTCCTTTCCCCCTTCTGGTACCCCTATAATTCGGATGTTGGAGCGTTTAAAGATGTCCTGGAGGTTTCTAAGCCTCTCCTCATTTTTTTGAATTCTTGTTTCTTCATCCTTTTCTGTTTGGTCATTTTTTTCCTCTTTCTGGTCTACTCCTTTGATTTGAGTCCCAGTTTCCTTTCCATTACTATTGGTTTCCTGTGCATTTCCCTTTATTTCGATTAGTTTAGCCTTCATATGTTCCTCTAATTTGTGACTAAAATCAACCAGTTCTGTGAGCATCCTGATCACCAGTATTTTGAACTGTGCATCTGAAAGTCTGGCTATTTCTTCGTTGCTTAGAGTTATGGGCTCTGGGGCTTTGAGCTCTCCTTGAGCCATAATGTTTTGCTCTGTTTGCGCCTGTTAAGTATGAGGAGCAGAGCCTTAGGTGTTCACCAGGGTGGGGCCATCCAGGTTGCTGGTTTGTGATGCAGTATGTGGGGGCGGGGTCAGAGAGGGACAATGGCGGTCCCCTCTGCTGTTTTCCACCACTGGGGCCTGCTCAGTCTGTCTCACTGCTTGCTCCTTTGCCGGTTTATCTGCGCATGAATGTGTGACCATGGTCAGCCCTCAGTGCATCCACCGCCTTATTTTTAGAGAGAGGGGAAGGGAGGGAGAAAGAGAAACATCAGTGCGTGGTTGCCCCTCACGTTGCCCCTGGTGGGGACCTAGCCCACAACCCAGGCATGTGCCCTGACTTGGAATCAAACTAGCGTCCCTTTGGCTAGCAGGCTGGCTGGCACTCAGTCCACTGAGCCACACCAGCCAGGGCACCATACCTCTGGTCCTATTACTGGTCAAAATGTGTTCCTTTTTTACGCAGTGATGGATCCCCTCAGTGAGGTCATTGTGAGGATTAGCTTCTATCATTAAGTATTAAAATGGGATTCTTTTATGGTGATTCCAAGAGACTTTTAAGTAGCTTAGAAATGTTAGCAATGACCTTCTCTATTTCTAGGTCAGGAATTCTTGATCCTTTCTGACAAGCTCTGTTTCTTGGAAGCTTAGTGTCAATTGGTTACATAGGATAAAATTGGGATGAGCTGAGAGTTGAACAGTGAAACAGTGATACTTGTCAGTATGAAGAGTGTGTAAGAAAGGTTTTGTAGTTTTACATGGAAAATATAAAGGTATGTTTTTAAAATTTTTTGAGTTATTTTTATTTGTATTTTTAAATTAATGTTTTTTAAAAAAATTGATAAATTATGCATAGCATAACACTGATGACCTTAACTATTTAAAAATATTTTTTAAAAGGTTTATTTATTTACTTTTAGAGAGAGGGGAAGAGAGGGAGAAAGAAAGGGAAAGAAACATCAATTTGTGGGTGCCTCTTGTGTACCTCTCACTGGGGTTCTGGCCCGCAACCCAGGCATGTGCCCTGACTAGGAATTGAATTGGTGACCCATAGGTTCACAGGCTGGCACTCAGTCCACTGAGCCACACCAGCCAGGGCTACCACCTTAACTATTTTTAAGTGTACAGTTCAGTAAGTGCTAAGTATATTCACGTTATTCTGCATCCAGTCTCTAGGACTTTTTCATCTTGCAAAACCAAGAATCTATACCCATTAAACAACAGCTTTCCATTTCAAGGTATGTTTTTAAGTTATGGGATTTGAGTATGTATGAAACATAAAGAAACAAACTGTCTTTTATTGTTATTGCATCTACTGTCAGATTTCCATGTCACAAATACAGTTGTGTGTAGCAGGAGTTAATTAATACCAGTTTCTGCATCTGACCTGAAGGGGGCACAGTGTGACACCTTGTTTCAGGAGCTTTTCAACTTTTCATTTCCCTGTCTATAGGCTGGCAATAAAAAGTTTAATCGTGCCAAACTCTTGAATGTGGGCTATCTAGAAGCTCTCAAGGATGAAAATTGGGACTGCTTTATATTCCACGATGTGGACCTGGTGCCCGAGAATGACTTGAACCTTTACAAGTGTGAGGACCAGCCCAAGCATCTGGTGGTGGGCAGGAACAGCACTGGCTACAGGTAAGGCGGCTCTGCCCATGGCCTGCTGAGCTGGAGAGCCTGCCCTGTTGTCACCAGGCTTTGTGGGATGCGCCCAGAGTGTCTTAGGTAAAGGAGAAATAGGGACAGTGGCACATGGCAGAGCACTTAAAGTTCAAAACAGGAATTAGAGAAATTAGGTTTTTCCTTTTAGGAAAAAGCCCCATGACAGCCTTGACAGAGGACCCCAGGGACAAAAGGGAAGAACAGAAGAGGAAATATAACCCAGGCCGTGCAAACCATGGCATGGCCTCACCTGCAGCATCCACACAGGAATTTTTTCAAGCTCGCCCCTACTGTGTGAATTTAAGTAACTTACTGGAATTCCTTGACTTCCCCCTGTAGGGGAAACAAAAGCATGCCCCTTAATTCAGCTTTTAGGCCTTGGTTGTGTGGATGTGATATCTCTCCAGAGTCCTGGGGGAGTATAGGTGGTGGTAGGGGCGGGGATGGGGGGGATGGGTGGGGGGTGGCGGGGGGACGACTATCCACTGAGTAGTCTGCCCAGGAGCCAGAACACCCAGGACAAGTTTCTCATCTCAGAGCCGCTGTGGGATGTGCTGGGTACCACCATTTCTATCTTCATTCCCCATTTTCTTATGTCCCCCAGGAGATGCATATCTGCTTTGTCCAACCTGTTTTATACCAGCTCCTATTTAAGCACAACCAAGGGGGAATAGTGACCAAGAAAATTCTCTGCAAATGGAGTTATACATGCACTTATGTGTGTGCACATTTACCTATCAGCTTCCCCTGGCCCGGCCTTTACTGTGCTCATGTCTGTGCTGCTCCCTGTGCTCAGGGCTGTGAGACCGATTTGAGTGGGCCGGGTGCCCGCCCTCAAAGAGCTCCCTGTTGTGTGCTGGTGTGGGGAGACAGCTACAGTGGAGTTATGTCAACTCTGCAGCTAACGTTTGTAAGTTTAACTGTAAGCACTTGGTAATGTGTCAGGGAAGGAAGGGGAAGGAGAAAAAGCCTGAATGAGGGCAGGTGTGGTGGGGCCACAGGGCAGGGGAGAGGCCTGGAAGAAAATCACAGGATTTTTCTTTTGGGGAACTTTATCTTTGGATCTCAATCTTATTATCTGGAAGTTTTGCTTTCTGGTGTCTGAACCACCTCTGCTTTGATGAAGGCAGCCTATCATGGTTGGTCGGTCACCTTGGCATTTTCAGAAGCATGTCAAACCATCTCTTCACTTACTGTGTATTAATGAGTTTTCCCTATGTACAGCACAAAATATAGGTATGTTGGACCCCTGACATAGATAACTTCCTAATGCCCAGTTCTTTCTGAACATCTGCAGTGGGAAATTACAATCACACAGGATTTTTGGTTTTTGTTTGTTTATTGTTATTGTTTGTTTTGAGTGCAGATAACAGGATTGTTTTAAGGACGGGTCTTTTGTTGGAATTATAGATTTTATCTTTGTGTTGAGCTGGACCACAATAAACTGAGTTCTTGGGCATTCCTGCTGGGAGTTGACTTTGAATAAAACTTTGATATCACAATCATAGATAGCATCAGAGGCTACTCACTCTAAAAACAGCCCTTGTTTGAATCTTACTGTTTTAACTTGGTGTTGTAACTGGCCAGATATTTCTTTTAAACTGGCTCTCAGTAGCCTTTGTCTTCCCTGAATAACTGGCAGGTTTTCTTAATGTGAATTAGGTGATTGAATGTGTCCTCTCTTTTCTCCTGGATGCAAGAAGCTCTGAGCCAAATCCATAACCTTTTTTTTTTAAAGCTGGAAAGAATCTTATTTGCAGATCAGAATTCTAATACATTTCTCAATTTAATCTTTCTTCTTTTCTGATTTAAGTTTTCCTCTGGACCTCATTTGTCATTTATATATATATTTTACTTCGTTTTATGTATCATGTAAATTGCCTCATCTACTATGGCCAGAAAGAGGCATGCATAAGTAATGATATTCCTCTCCCCTCACCCCCCTTTCCTTTGGTGCTTTGGGCAGACCCTTCCATAGCTGGCAGCAGTGGTAGCAGACAGCTGAGTGTGCCACAGAACTCAAATCAGCAAGGGCTTTTGTTCATTGTCACAATGGTCCCATGACTATGATAAGTTCAAGAAATGCTTTTGAGGATTTCCAGTCAGGATGGCAGCGTAGACAGACATGGCTCACCTCCTCCCACAACCACATCAAAATTACAACTAAAATATGGAACAACTATCACTCAGAAGTGTCAGAAATTGAGTTGAATAGAAGCCTGACACTAGGGAATTAAGAAACCGTGTCCAGCCCTGGCTGGTGTAGCTCAGTGGATTGAGTGCGGGCCTGCGAACCACATGATCACGGTTCGATTCCCAGTCAGGGCACATGCCTAGGTTGCAGGCTGGTTCCCTGCAGGCCAGTTCCCAGCAGGGGACGCACGAAAGGCAACTGTACATTGACGTTTCTCTCCCTCTCTCCTTCCCTTCCCCTCTAAAGATAAATAAATAAAATCTTTAAAAAAAAAAAGAAACCACGTCCATTCAGACTGGTAAGAGGGGCGAAGACGTGGAATGGACTGATTCCATATCCATGTAGAGTGGATAAAAATGTAGGAGGGATATTTCAGGAATGAGGAGTCCCAGCCCTACACCAGGCCTGCCTGCCCAGAGTTCCTGTGCCAGGAAGATAAGCCCCCACAACTTCTGGCTGCAAAAACCAGTGGGGATTGAGTTGGTGGAAGAAAGTTCTAGAGGCCCAAGGAGTTCCTCTTAAAGAACCCACATATAGACTCACCTTCTCAGACTCACTCCCTCTGAGCTCCAGCACTGGGGTAGCAGTTTGAAAGGCACCAGTGACATGCAGGGAGGAACCGAAGTGCGGGCATCCAGGCAAGCAGGGGCCATTGTCCCTTTTCTAGACCCACTTTCCATGGAGCTGAAAGCTGGTGCCATATCTGAGACTCCATCAACCTGGCTAACACTGTTGGGAGATAAACTTGGAGATCCCCAGAGACTCTGTCCCACCCAACTTATGTGCCTACCCAAGCTTGCTTTTCTGTGTGAATGGCTGGTCTTGGCTCATGATTCACAACTTCCTAAATCCTCTCAAACAAGGAACAGCTGGCCTCAGTGAGCTCCAGGCCTGGCACTAGTGGTAGGCAGCCTAGATTAACAATTTGGCTTTACCTGGGAAGCTCCAATCCCAACACAAGTAGCAGCCATCTCAGATTGCTTGATAGCTTAGACACTGTGGCCTGGGGTAAAACACAGGTGGGGGCTGACCTTGCCCTGCACCACCCAGGAAACCCCAGAGCCTACATATCCAGTGGGCAGTTACAGACCACATCAGAACACCACCACCCTGCCCTTGCACATCTGGTCCTCCACAGAAGGCAGAGGTTGGTGGTCAGTGGTCACAGCTAGTCCTCGTAGCTGCCTAGTCTTCCCATTGACCTGCCAACAGCAACCAAGGCTCAACTACAAGAAGAGGGTGTACTCAGCCCAGCCCCTCCCCACCCCCCAAGGGTGCACCTCAAGTACACAGCTTGAGTGATAGGGGAAGCTTTGCCATTGGACCTTACCGGATACCTACTACCTTAGACCACACTACCAAGACGTGTAGTCAGAGCAGTTCTACCTAATACATAGAAACAAACACAGAGAAGCCACCAAAAAGAGGAGACAAAGAAACATGGCCCAAATCAAAACTCCAGAAAAAGAGCTAAACAAAATAGAGATAAGCAAGCTTTCAGATGCAGAATTCAAAACACTGGTTATAAGGATGCTCAAGGAACTTAGTGAGGACCTCAGCAGCATAAAAAAGATCCAATCAGAAACAAAGGCTTCACCAGTTGAAATAAAGAACAATTTATAGGGGAACAACAGTAGAATGGATGAAGCTAAGACACAAATCAATGATTTGGGACATAAGGAGGCAAAAACCAACCAATTAGAACAATAAGAAGAAAAAAGAATCCAAAACAAGAAGAATGGTATAAGCAGCTTTTGGGACAACTTCAAGCATTCCAACATTCACATCATAGGGATGCCAGAAGGAGAAGAGAAAGAGCAAGACATTGGAAATTTATTTGAAAGAAGAATGAAAGAAAACTTCCCTAATTTGGTGAAGGAAATAGACATGCAAGTCCAGGAAGCAGAGAGAGACTCAAACAAGATTGATGCAAAGAGGCCCACTCCAAGATGCATCATAATTAAAATGCCAAAGGGTAAAGATAAAGAGAGAATCTTAAAAGTAGCAAGAAAAAAGCAGTTAGTTACTTACTGGGGAGTTCCTCTAAGACTGTCATCTGATTTCTTAAAAGAAACTTTGCAGGCTAGAAGAGATTGGCAAGAAATATTCAAAGTCAGGAAAAACAGGGACCTATAGTCTAGATTGCTTTACCCAGCAGAGCTATCATTTAGAAATGAAGGGCAGATAAAAAGCTTCCGAGACAGGAAAAAACTAAAGTTGTTCATCCTCACTGAACCATGATTAGATGAAATGTTAAAGGGACATATTTAAGAAAAAGAGGATCAAAACTATGAATCTACATATCTATTGATACATATCAATAGAGTGGCAAAAATACATATCTATTGATAATTGAATCTAAAAAACAAACTAGCTTTGGCAGGTGTGGCTTGGTAGATTGAGTGCCGGCCTGTGAACCAAAGGGTCACCGGTTCAGTTCCCTATCAGGGCACATGGTTGGGTTATAGGCCAGGTCCTTAATCAGGAGTATGCAAGAGGCAATCACACATTGATGTTTTTCTCCCTTTCTTTCTTCCTCCTTTCCCCTCTCTAAAAATAAATAAATCTTTAAGAAAAATAAAAATAAAAAACAAATTAAGCAAACAAGAAGAATAGAGGCAGAATCATGGCTATGAAGAGCATTGTGATGGTTTCCAGATGGGAGGAGGGTGTGGGGTGAAGAGATGAGGGGGTTAAGAAGTACAAAGAGGTTGTTATAGAAGAGCTGTCGGATATAAAGTATAGTATAGGAAATGGAGAAGCCAAAGAACTTACTACACACATGACCCACGGACATGAATAATGGTGGGGGGATTGCCTGTGAGAGTAGGGGTGCTGGGTGGAAGGGGGCAAAGGGGGGAAATTGGGACAATTGTAATAGGATGATCAATAAAATATAATTAACATTAAAAACATAAAAAAAAATAAAGAAATGTTTTCACTTTACACACATGCAGAAAGAAGAAGTTAGAGTAACTTGATCAAAATGTCTCAGATTCTGATGAAGCCAGGGAAATCTTGTTTATCCCATGGACTGTGAGTCAGCGATAAAGCTCTGGACCTGCCTGTGGCAAATTTTACTGCCAGTCATTTCTTTGGTACCTGCCTGCCTTGTACAAGGATGCTACTGTTATTTTTGACTACGTTTCCCCAATCTCACAGTTTTAATTATAGATATAACTGTTACAGGGCCCATTAAATAGTTATGCGTTTCCAGATACGTAGAAAAACCAAAGCAAAGATCAATAAATGCACAGATGTTTGCATCCAAAAGGCTACTAGAAAATGGAGTGTTTTTTTTTAAGTATTTATTTTTAGAGAGGGGGAAGGGGGAGAGAAACATTGATATATGAAAGAAATATTGATTGGTTGCCTCTTGCACATCCCCCAACTGAAGGACCTGGCCTGAAACTCAGACAAGTGCCCTGACTGGGAATCAAACTGGCAGCCCTTTGCTTTGCAGGATGACAGCCCACCAACTGAGCCAGACAGGACAGGCCTGAAATAAAAGTTTCTAACCCTTTCTTTCTGGCTGGCCTTCTGCACTTGTAGCTGCAATGAAACTGGTCTGCAGGTGCTGGTCAGACAGCCTACACTTTTCTCTTTTTTCCTTTTTCTCATGTAGTTCTGGCCACCTCAAGGTCCCCATTTTTTTGCCTGTCTGAATCCTCCGATATGGCCTCTCACTCCTCAGAACCCTGACAATGTTTAACTCTCATTAGACTGTCAGCTTTTTGAGGGCAGGGACAGGGATTACAGTGTGTCACCAGCTGCCTTGCTCATTGTGGATAGTGGTTCCTTAACAGATCACCGTCAGATCATCAGTGCTCTTCTGTCTTGGTGACCCTTCTGTGGTGCTTGGCAGGTTATTCCTGTTCAGGGGTTCTACTCCGTCCTGATGGAGCTACTGGTCCTTAGGTGGTTAGGACCAGTCAGAGTCCAGTAACTGTGGCGGCAGGTCACTGCCATAGGTGTCTTGGGCAGGAATGGCTGCCTTCTGAGCACTTTATTTCCTTTTGTTTGTTTTAGGTTATAATAACACCATTTTCTAGAATTTTAGGTTGACAGTATATAAGTAAATCTGTCTCCATAATGGGTTAAACAGGGTCCTCCCCTCTGTACTCAGAACGCAGAAACGCAGTTGAACTACAGATGACCTTTTCTGACTCTGCCCGTTAGATGGCAAGTGTCTAGGTGTTTATTGCCCTTGCCTTCTAGTTTTTCTTCTTATCTGGAGAGTCAGCAAAATTTCATAAGTCTTGGAGCACTTTGAACTGAAGTTAATTAAAGTTTTATTCAGGAACATCCAAGTTAATTAGCTGCCTTAATTTGCATTTCTGAATTGGTACAGTGTTACCTTCAGGGGTATCTTTATTTCTCAGATTTGCAAGTTGGCCCACCAGCAATCGTAAGGGTCCCATGTGGCTGGAAGGTGCCGTCCGACTGGTCCCGCTTGATCTTTTCCCCCCTTTTCCTCTGCCCTCTCCTCACCTCCTGTGCTGTCCTTGGGCGGTACAGTTCTGCTGCCACCCTCCAAGGGCCACCTCTGAAGAGCCTATGTGCAAAGCCCTATCTTCAGCCTCTCTTCTCTTTTGAGCTTGGACTCCATATCCTTCCGACCACCAGCAAAAGCGCCAGAGATTTCTCAGATTCCACTTAGCCAAAATTTACTGTCTTCCTTTAAAAACCCAATTATTGTTTTGTATACTCTATTTTTGTGAAAGCTACAATCATCTACTTAATTGAGTAAGCCAAAGAACTTACTATACAGAAACATCAGGTTTGATGAACTGTATTGAATTCTTCAAGAAACAGACTTTGGGCCCTGGCTGGTGTAGCTCAGTGGATTGAGCACGGGCCTGCGAACCAGACAATTGCGGTTCGATTCCCAGTCAGGGTGTATACCGGGGTTGCAGGCTGGTTCCCTACAGGCCAGTTCCCAAAAGGGGATGCACAAAAAAAGGCAACCATACATTGATGTTTCTCTCCCTCTCTCCTTCTCTTCCCCTCTAAAGATAAATAAATAAAATCTTAAAAAAAAAGAAAAGAAACAGACTGGTGTGGAGCTTTGCAGACAAAGTGTGTGCAGGAGCTGTCTCTGCTCTCTACCTCCTCTGCAGCCCCCAAAAAAGTGAAAGTAAAAGAAACCCAGTATATGCTCTATGACACTTACTCATGCTGAACCTGGGTGCAACCTCAGAATCCTTCTTAACCCAGTGCCTCTGATAGCTACGACTTTGCATTGGATTGGCACATGAGATGAAATCTGTCATTCACATCTGATGTTATGGTGTGCATTTACAGGTACCTCTGTAGACTGCTGCATGCAAACATTAAACACTAACAATAACAGGTGGGTGGCACCTTGCTTGGTGAGGGCATGTGAGCACTTGTCTCAGCGGAGGAATGAAGAGCAACGGGGCAGGGAATGTTGGGCGGTGGATGCCCAGCAGGAATGGCTGGGTGGAGTGCATGGTCTCCACCATGTTCTTAGAATGTCAGCCTGGAATCAGAGACTTCTCAAGTGTCTGTGGAGGACAAAAAGGCTGTGCTAATGTCCTTGTTCTCTCCTCTCTTCTGCTCTAGGTTACGTTACAGTGGGTATTTTGGGGGTGTTACTGCCCTAAGAAGAGAGCAGTTTTTCAAGGTGAATGGATTCTCTAACAACTACTGGGGATGGGGAGGCGAAGACGATGACCTCAGACTCAGGTGAACAACAGAGACAGGTCCCCTTCACAGGGCTTTGCGATCAGCGATGGCTCTGGAAACCTGCATTTTATAGCACCTGCAGATGCCAGCCCGGCGGGGCAGGAGGCTTCGGACTTGTGGGGAGGCGGGTGCAGGGGGCAGGCAGGATGACCCAGGTTGCTCTTTACCACTGGCAGTGTGGAGGTGATGGAAGATGGCCTGTTTCTGGCTTGTGGGTGTTAGGGGTCCACAAGTGTTGATGGAGGTCTCTGTGGACTTGTCAGTGGGCATTGCTTACTGAGAAGGGTCTCCCCAGTGAGTGAAAAGTCCCAAATTGTGGAAGGTCCACAAGGATGCAATTTGAGGACAGCGGCCAGAGGGCCCAGTACAAGCCTGTGCTTTCTTCCAGACACTGGGGAAGCCTGCACAGTTCCCAGTGCCCAGAGCAGGGAGTGCCAACAGCCTGTGAGGACCTGCACACCCTGAAGCAGGCCAAGATGTCTTCTCCAGCAGGCATTAGCCAGCCCTACCTAGTGTGCGGGTAGCTGCTGGCCTACCTCCCAGGCTGGGCTCCAGGCTACTAGCATCATCCTCAGATTCTCCTGGACTATTTTCTACCCTGAGGGCTTCAGAAGGACTATATCTGGCCTCCCCTCTTGGCAACCTCCCCTGAATTTGAGTTTTGTAGCCAGGTAGTTATGGGTAGCCCTACCTATCAGAAATAATTAATGATTTAAGAGCCTGGGGTCAGTATCTTTAGACTTGAAGTAACAAGGTCTTCCGGGCTATCAGAAGACCCACCCTTCCTCCTGCTGTTGTTTCTTAGAAAGGAACTTCCTTAGCTGAAGTTTTGAATTGATAGATATGTGACTGCCAGAACGTTCTCCTTCAGCATAAAGAAGCGAGGACTCCCTGCTGGTCTTTTCCCAAGTGTAGGTTGAGAGTCCCTGGGATGTTTCTGGCAGGAGGAGAGTGGATTTCCCTGATCCATAGGAAGGGCCATGTGACAGGCAATAGCTCTTTAAGGCCCATTCTATCACCAGTCTGTGGGGCCAGGGTTTACGAAGTAGACAGAGCTAGACTTCAGGGCAAGAGTAGCAAAGGATAGAGGTAAACAGTGTCCACCACCTCCCCAAAGTCCATGTTACGGCCTAGGTGGGAAGGTTAGAATTTTTCACTGATCATATATCAACACGGTCTTTTTTCCTGTGCTCCTGGGCTTCGAGGCTGAGGGAGCACCAAGGTTTGCTTTTGTTTCTCAAGAACATCAGGGCCTTCAGAGTGATTCTTGACTAACTACTGATAACTAAGTGATTTTAATGTAAAAGTTAGTTGAAGTTTATTCTCTAAATATTTACTCACTTGTGCAGCAGGTGCCACCCCTCTTTGCACATATATTACATTAGTTTGCAAAGCCCGCACCCTGCAGACTCCCTCATTTGTGCCTGTCCGGTCAGCTCCAGAACACCTCTGGCATTTTATACCTGGGAAACCGAGACTCGGAACAACAAACTCACTTACCAAGGAGGAAAATAGCAAAATCTAGATTCGAACCTAGGTTCATGGCCTTTAAAGCTTGCAACTTTAAAAGATTGTTACTTAATTTGTTAAAAGAAGGAAGAGCTAAGTAAACTAAAGATCACAAAAGAGACTTGATTCTCCTAGTCATCATAATTTTTAAAAATTTATTTTTGAATATGACATACAATAGTACATAAATTTCAGGTGTCAAACATTGAGATTAGACATTTATATACCTTATGTCATGATGTTTTAAAACACATATTTTCTCAGATGTTTTGGAAAATGACAAACTGTGAATTGACACATCTTTTTATCCCAGGAGTAAATGTTAAATGTGAATTTTTTATGGACTTACTTCCTGAGGCCCAACATTACAAGAAAATTTTCTTTTTATTACCCAAAGTAGTCAAACTATTTATGTCGCTGTGTGTGCACATGTGTAAATTTTGGAAATGATTCTTTTTGTGTGCCTAGTGGTAGATAAGTAGAATGGAATTTTTAAAAACAACCACCTCTGGTATTTTTCTAGGGTTGAGCTTCACAGAATGAAAATAATCCGGCCAATGCCTGATGTGGGTAAATATACAATGATCTTCCACACTAGAGACCAAGGCAATGAGGTGAATGGAGAACGGTAAGTCCTGGCTTCACATGCCTGGGGGGCTCTACCTCCTTAGCCTCTTCTGCCAAGAAGGGAACCGCTGAATCTGATCAGATGAGCCTGTTTATTTCATTCAAAGTTTTTATTGAGGTGATTTTCAAACAGACATAGAAGTAGAGGCAATGATATATTGCGCCCTCATGTACCCCACACCTGGCTTCAACAGTTACCAACTCATGGCCTCTCTTCTTTCTCCCACTTTGTTCTCCTCCTCCACTGGATTATTTAGAAATAGACTATAATTCACAGCATCGCATGTGTAAATACTTCAGTATGTGTCCCTAAAATATAAGAAAATTTTAGAAAAAAACCACTATATCATTATCATACCTAAAATAAAATTAACAAAACTTCCTTAATATCATCATCATGCAGATTACCCAGTCAGCGTTTAGACTGCCCTGGTTGTCTCATAAATGCTTCCCTCCCCCCACAAAACAAACAAACAAACAAACAAATAAAAAACTTGACTCTATTCCAATTAGGACCCAGACAAGCTCCATCTACACGTTACATTTACATTTCTCTGAAATCTCTTTTAATCTGTAGATTCCCTCTTCCCTCTTTTTTTCTTCCCCATTGCAATTTATTTGTTGAACAAACCAAGTCCTTTGATGGAATTTCCTACATTGGGGATTTTGCCAGCTTCATCCCAGTGGTAAAACTTATGATGTGCCCCTGACCTCAGCATTTCCTTGTGAACTGGAGTTAGATCTCGAGGCTCGACAGACTGAGTACTATTTCGGGGCAAGAACACTTTATAGATGATGCCATGTACCTGCTTTGTGTCACACCAGGACAGGATGTCTGGTTGTGTCTTTGTGGTAACAGGATCTGTGGGTTCAGCGTTTGTCAGCCCTGTCTTCTCGTTGTGAGGTTGTCTGTCTGCTTTTTACCTAATCATTTTAGCAGCCATTGCCAGCGCTGATTGCTGCCTAAATTTATGACTGAGGGATTACAAAACTCTGGTAGCGTATTATTCCTTCTGCATCATTGGATTGATCTTTCTACAAAGAAGGACTTGCGTTCTTCATCTGCTTGAGTGCCCTGGGGTACAGTTCATATAGAAAAGGCAGAATAAAGGGAAAGAATCAGCATTGCTTTTTCACTTTTCAAAGTGGTGAGTTGATGTTCCCTGGCCTGCTTCAGGATGGAGGTAATATTCTCGTCAATGCTCAGCTTGCTTTGTCTTTGGCAAATGGCATCTTCTCCACATTGACTCCTGGATCCTCTGACTTAACAACACTGGTTTTGAGAGCTTCCTTCCCTGTGCTCCGGTGAGATGAGCTGTTCTAGGCTCACCTGTGCTTCTGCCCCAGGAATTAGCCCTTTCAGTAGGCAATGCTGACAAATAAGTCAGATTTTTATGGGATGAAGACTGAAGAATCTATGTTCTTTGTTCTGTTTTTTTTTCCCCCTAACTTTTAAAACAGTGTTAAAGGGCTTTTGGCCCTTTTGTTAGAGTACATTTTAAAACAGTATTAGGAGGCTTTTTAGCTCAATATTACAGGGCTTTATCAGAGTCTATATTTTAAAACAATATTAAAAGGCATTTAGTCCTTTTGTTAGAATCTACCACTTTAACAAAAATAGCTATTTCTGTTTTCTATGTATGTTACTAGTTTCTGTCCATAGGTATGCATTTTTCTCTTTAAATAAAAAAATTATTAGTAGATAAAAAGAATACTTATAAATTGTATGACAAAACCTGAAGATTCTTGACCCTGAACACTGGTGTTGTCCCCTCCCCAGTCACGGCTGTTACCTGTGTGGCCCTCCCGAATTCCGTACCTGCCCCACCCCCACGGCCAGAGACGACAATTTTCTGATTTTTTGTGATAACTATTTGTGATAATTATAATTATTTGTGCTATTTCTTGGTTTTCTTGTTTTCCCATATATTTGTATCTCTATACAAAAGGTTGTTTAGTTTGCATGTATCTCAATTTTATGCAAATGAAATCATGCTGTATTATTTTCCTCTGGTTTTATTTAGGTCAACATTATGCTCTAATCCCCACCCACATTGTTGCTGAGACTGACGTGGATTGTTTTCACTGCTAGGCTCTCAGAGACCAGCTCAGACCAGCACCCACCCACTCTTCCCACGCCCCAGGGCTGCAGCCACACAATTACAGATTCTTCTTCAAATGCGTTCTGTTGGTTTGCATGTCCATGCCTCTTGCACAGTGGCTTCTCTTCCTCTGTATCCTTCCCCTCACCTTCTTCACCTGGTGCATTTCTTCTCTTTTAAGCCTCAAGTCCAATTTTCCTTCTCCCTGACCCCTGTCCAGACTCCATGATGGAGTTAGGTGCCCTTAACTCATCCTTCTCTACCTGCATTCTAACTTTCTTTGAGACTTTTAGGAAAGCCATACACCCTGCCTGCATCCAGACACAATTTCCCCGACAACATTGGAGGATTCACAGACCCCCTACAGCTTGTGCAAGGACAGCAGCAGACGACACATTTCACATTGTGTCATTGTCATCCGTACATCCTTCTGTCCTATAGACTGGGGACTCCCTGCATGCAAGTGTCATTATCATATGACACTTTCATCATTAGTCTCCAGGGTCTCACTTGGGGTTCAACACGTGAACACATAGCTGTCTTGCTGTCCTTTACCTTAGATGGGGAAAATAAACTTTTCTGCAGTAGAAAACCCAACAGGTATAATAATTTACCAAGGTGCTTTTGTAAAATTGTGGCAAGACAAAAAGCAATGGAAATACAAGTTAACTTTTGTCTTACCATTGACATTTGTTCTTTTTATCTTTAGGATGAAGCTCTTACATCAGGTGTCACGAGTCTGGAAAACAGATGGGTTGAACAGTTGTGTTTATAAATTACTGTCTGTCGATTACAATCCTTTATATGTCAACATCACAGTGGATTTCTGGTCTGGCCCTTGACCCCGTACGGTCTGGTGATGTTGGGAAGAACTGAAGATTTGATTGCAATACTTTTGGCCTGGAGTCTTGCCCTAGTAGCACACAGTAAGAACTTGTTGCAGCTAATTATCAAGCTGAATTGTTCCTTTTTTGTATTTTCTTAGTAGAGCTCCTGGTGAGATGGAATGAGCTTTCTTAGTTGTTTTGATCACAAAGGTTAAAATATTGTAATATAGATACTCGAAGGACTAAGTGTAAAAGGAAGACTGAAAAGATATCATGCAGGCTACTTGAGAACACTAATTAAAGGAAATTTATTTAAGTTTGAAGTGATACATTGCGGGATAAAAAATGCCACAGGAAATAAGATTGCCGAATGTCAGAAAACCAGACTCATTCTGGATGGAGGGAGAAAGGTACGACGATGCATTTGCTCCACTCATTTGTCCTGCATGGTCATCTTGTGAAGAGGCAGGTCCCACATGAGAAGTCAGCAGCAGGAGAGGCGAGAAAGGTGAAGAACCAAGATGCAATGACCTTGGGGATTTAAGTGGTGGTGGGAGGACTATCAGAGAGGCAGCCAGGGTTGTACTGGCTGCCGCTGCTGCTAATACTGTGTGTGCGGTGTCATCTGCCGGATGCTCCTTCCAGTGCAACCCCAGCAGGAAATACGTTATCTACTGGTTTTTTAAAGCATTTTTGTAAAGTGATTTTGTACATGTAGGATATGAATTAGTAGTTTACAAATGACAAATTACATGTTAACTAATAATACAAAAATACCTCTGCAGTAAAATATAAACAAGCTTTGGGTGCTCAATCTTGTTTTTTACTGTTGTATGAGGCCTGCAGATATGTTTATTTCAGTATCCATAGACCTAAACAGCTTAAAAACTGAAAGGAGACCGAGCCCCCCTGTTCCCTCTCTTCATCCCTCTGTACCTCCCTCCTGTTCTTCCTCTGTGCATCTGCCTTGTGTAACCAGCTCCAGGCCTGTGGCTGGTGCCTCTGTGTCTAGTTTCCTGGGCCACATTGTGGTTTTGTTCTCTGTATTGTCTTCTGTTCCTTTCTTATTACAGGCACTGGGTGCAGCAGGGCTGGCCAAAAGGACACAGCTCGGTGGTCCTGGGACAGGAAGGGATGGAACCCAGGGCTTGGCAAGCCTTTCATTTGGAAGGAAGGTGGGACCGGGGCAGGGATTTGAGTAGTGGCAGTGATTTGGGAGAGAAGCAAGGCGCCAGTACTGCTGAGCTTCCTGGGGAGGGGGCGGGGACGGGGGAGGATAATGGAAGGAAGGTAATAGGAGATGGATACTGAGTCAAGAGAACAAAAAAGTATTTTGTTTGCGTAGGTGAATGGACACATATATAATGCAGATATGGGTGTTCTTAAGCAATTGCTATGCCACTGTGCCCTAGGGTCTCTCGATCTATCATTATTATGACACTTTTTAAAACTTTATCATGAATGAGTGCCAGCCAAAAGGTGTAAATAATATCCTTCCCAAGCAGGAAGAGGGAGGAAGTGGGCTCCCAAGAAAGACAGCAATCAGCAGCCAGTAGAGAAGGAGAATCTGAATTAAAGGAAAATACGTTTTATAGACATGATAGGTTTACCTAGGGCTGGCCTGGTTTAACTTTAATGCAGTAGGGACAAGTGAAAACTTTATGTATATATTTTTCTATAATATATTTTATTGATTATGCCATTAGAGTTATCCCATTTCCCCCCTTCATTCCCCTCCACCCTGCACACCCCTTCTGCCCCTTTTAGTTCATGTCCATGTGTCATAGTTCTTTAGCTTCTACATTTCCCACACTACTCTTGCCCTCCCCGTCTATTTTCTATCTACCGTCTATGCTACTTATTCTCTGTACCTTCTTCCCGCCTTTCCTCCCACTCCCTTGTTGCTAACCCTCCATGTGATCTCCATTTCCATGGCTCTGCTCCTGATTTAGCTATCTGCTTAATTTGCTTTTGTTTTAGGTGTGGTTGTTAATAACTGAGTTGGCTGACCTTTCAACTGGTCATATTTTTAACTCCTTTTTCTTAGATAAGTCCCTTTAACATTTCATATAATAAGGGCTTGGTGATGGTGAACTCCTTGAACTTGACCTTATCTGAGAAGCACTGTATCTGCCCTTCCATTCTAAATGAGAGCTTTGCTGGATAGAGCAATCTTGGTTGTAGGTCTTTGGATTTCATGACTTGGAATACTTCTTTGCAGCCCCTTCTTGCCTGTAAGGTCTCTTAAGAAATCAGCTGACAGTCTGATGGGAACTCCTTTGTAGGCGACTGTCCCCTTACCTCTTGCTGCTTCTAGGATTCCCTCCTTCATTTTAATCTTGGCTAATGTAATGATGATGTGCCTTGGTGTGTTCCTCCTTGGGTCCAACTTCTATCACAGGAAGAATGGATGGTGTTTATATTTTCCCTCTTTTGCTCTTCCCTCTCTTTCCTGCAGAATCTTTCTTTAGCATTCTATTCCAATTTTCTTAAATACAACAACATAAATACTGAACTACCAGAATGGCCAACAGCCCATGCCAGGGGGCCCCCAGTCTGGAGTCCGTGGGTCCCACGTGGTTGGGGAAGGTAAAGCAAGAGAATCATGTGTATAAGAAATTGGAGGACCTATATCTGAGAACTCTATTTCTCATTCAATGGAAATGAAATATAGTTACTACCATGTGGAGACTCCCTGTGTATTTTCAGCTATTAACAAGCCATCTGCATTTTAAAAAGTGTTAGTAATCACTATACTATGCCTATTACTGTCCTTCAGATAATTCTTTCAACCAAGATAAGGTACAGTCATTTAAATGACTCATTGTGAAACTTCCTGAGGCAGAAAATAATTTTTAAGATGTTTATTTTGCCACTGTGCCATTTAACCTGCACTAAAAATCAAGGCCCAGTGACTGGCTAGAGGCGGGTGGCTACCTTCTTGGTGGCCGCCATCCTGACACCCCGTCACAACTGGGCAGGAGAGGTTGGTCTGTGAAGGACTGAGCTTTCCTATAATTCCTGCCCTGTGTATGTTTCCTTGTCAATTGCCACTAAGAGGCCAAGTTGTTTGCCCGTTGTAGAGATGCCTACCAGCATTGCTAAGGAGCATATGGATGCAGTCTATTTGGATATCATACTTCACAGGAAGGCTGTGCTACTTTGAAATTTTTATTGGTTTTTTTCCTTATTACCACTCATAGCACTCTATGGGCTGCAATGTTTTTACATGTACTTTATTGATCTTGTGGAATCCTGAGATAAGTAGGGTAGATTGAGGAAGTGGAGACTGAGAACAGGCGGGGGACTTTCCAGAGGTCCCACGGCTAGTAAGTGGCCAACTCAGGGCACAAACTCAGATTTTCGACCACAAAGACCATTACCCAATAATTCTTTCACCTGGCATCTCTTATTCTTTGAGGTAGTTTTTCTGAATCTAAATCCCTGCCCTAGCTCCCAGAGAGGGTTGGTACTTCTGGGCCTTAAAGAGTATGTTCCATTCTCATTTGGTCTTTGAACTTTCCCCCAGACACCCCCCCCCTGGTGTTTTGGCCCATAGTGCCCTCGCTGCCACTCAAGCTCCTATCGGACTGGTTGCCTGGGGGCCCCCAAATGCTCTGTGAATGGACTCTCAGGTGCGATGAGACCTTCTGTGCCGGACTCGAAACCTCCACTTCTCCCAAGTCCTACACGTGTACCATTCCCGTGAAAAGCCACGAACATGTCCCACAAGATGGAGTATAGTCAGGCACATTTCACAATTTCTTTTCAAAATATCCTTTTAAAAGTCTATTTCTTAGTTTCTTGTATATGTAAGCTGTTGCTTCCTTGAGAAGGTCTGATAGGTGTCAGAAGGGCTGAGAGGACCCGCCCCCAGGGGAATACCTGTACAGGCAGAGTCTTCACCATTCCATCGACAATTGTTGAAGTTGAAATGCAAATAAAATTGAACCCTGCCTGCATGTTTGGGGGGGTATTTGTGTAATTTTGGACCTTGGGGGAGAGGTTGGTAAAGGATAGGGCATAACAATAATTGAATGCCTGCTTCTTATTAGTCAATTTCCCTATGTTTTTCATTTTAACTTTTGAATAGCCCTGTAGGTACTATACATACTGCAAAAAGAGAAAACAGATTCAAGTAACTTCCCCAAATCAGTAAGAGGGTCTCTTGACTCCAATATCTTGATCTCCCCAAACGCCTTGGAATATCATATTGTCAGAATATTATGAGATTTCTCTGTGAAGGCAGCACAGGCAGAGATATCATTTGTAGCTAAAAATAATACACAACTTGAGACGTATCCATTAAAATGCCTTATCTTGATGACCCTGGTACATTCTTCCACTATGGAGTAGGAGTTTTGCTGGAAAGCTATTACTCATAGCTATTGTTTGAGGGCCAGTTAATTTGGACCAAAATATTTGGCCATTAAACTTATTGCAATAAATTGAAGCAAGATGACATTAGTTGGCATGGTCCCAGGGATTACCGTCCAAGCAGAGTTCTTTGGAACAGATTTATGTTATAATTTTCTGTTGGTATTTCTTACAGGTTGACCATTCTAATGCACACTTTGCATATCTTGCTGAATTCTCCCAGTTCCGTGTAAAGACAGACATAATTTTTTAAGCAGTTTCTGAAAGGCCAGGTGACCTGCCAAAGTCATGCAGAGCTGGGATTTGAAGCCAGGTATCTGAGTCCAAAGCTCATGTTCTTAACCATTTCATGGTCATAGACAACAAATACACGAAGACAGGAAATAAGGATGGGCAGACATTTGGAGGGTGTGATGCCCTTCAACCAAAGACCCCTCAGGAACACATCTGCAGAAAAATAAATTGGGATTGTGCCTCATTGCAGTGATCGAGAACATACCATGGGGAACAATGAGGTATCTCAGGAAAAAGGAGTTAGAAAGAATCTACGATTGCATTTGGGTTTGTGTTGAGTCCCTTGGGGAGGGTCTGAGGAAGCCGGAAGTGTGCTGTAGGGGCTACTGTCAGAAAGCGGGACAGTTCTGTGACTGTGGATCTGCATACATTTTATCCGTTGGGAAGGACCAGCAGGGAAATAAAGCTGTAATGGATGAACACGTAGCAGCCACTCGTTCCAGCCAAGAAAGGGTGTGTTTGGTGTTTTGTGGGTGGCAGTGACCTTGTTTTTTTTGACTGTGCTTAGACAGAATTATAAAGTGTCCTTGCTTTGCCTCATTTTATCTTGATCACAGAGTAACCTTATCTGAGGTTGGGATTCTGTGAGATTGTTTATATCTAATAGGAGAATAGCATGGCCTCGTCGTGAGTGCCAGTCTAGCTTCTGAAGGTCAGGGGCTTCTCTTTTTATTTTTCAAGTCAGAGTAGAGGCCACTAGAAAGTAGAGCACGATGGTACCGCTTCTCTTTGACCCCCAAGACTTGGCTATTTGTCTCCCTCAGGTGTGTGTGTCGGGAGCACTGGGGCCTGGGGGTGGGGAGGGGTGGGGAAGGATCCGGGAACAGTGCATTTCTCAGGTATGCTACTTTTTCCCAAGCTGTTTTTGGATCTCCTCATTGCATGTGGGCACTTGAGCCAAATTATAAAAATGTCACACATGAAAGCAAACTCAGTAGCTTACAATAGCTAGCCTCCTTTGGGTTTCTCCTTTGCTTTAGTCCTGGTGCAGGATGTGTAAGGATCTGGGTGGGGTGAAGCAAGGAAGAGAAACTAGAGGGAATACTAGATGCAGAAGCAGAAAGGAAATTGTTCCCTCAGTAGAAATGAGAAACGAGCTCAGTTTCCAATCCCTCAACCACAGCCCAGCTTGGCAATCAATTTGGCTGGGATTGGAGTAGAAGAGAGAGATTAGATTTTCAAATTCTCTTGATTATTCTTATTCCTTCTTTTCTTGATTGTATCCAGAGAGTACCTGATCTGCTGCTTAGGAAAGAAGCATTTTCTATTTATTATAGCTGATGGGGATAAAAAAAAAAAAGCTACAGAGCTGATAATATGAGCAGTGGGCTTTCTAACTCTCAGTGTAAACAGCCTGCCAGGAGCCTGGTAGCAAGCTGCGGAGGAAATGGCCAATCAAGAGAGCAGAATGACCCCTCTGGCCGCAATCAGGTAAAACTTACCCCAGAGTTAGTCTGACATGTCTGGCGTTAGGTAATCATTTTTCCTTGTCCACCTGATAAGCAGGAGGACAGACTTGAAGTGGGAGGTTTCATAAGATGGTTTTGTGTGGATGTGTCTTAAACCCAGCAACCTGCCAGCAGCCGGGCTCTCCAGCTCTCTTTCCCCTCCCTGGTCTGGTGGGGCTGGAGGTGGCTTTGGGGAGGCTGGGCCTGGACCTCACCCCGAACAGTGGCTTGGTTCTCACTGTGAGTCCCCTTCTAGCATCAGACCCCAGAGGGAAGAGGGGAAAGGCTGGACTTCCAGGGAAGGCAGAGGGGGGTGGAAGCAGGAACTGGGCAGAGCACAAACTGCCCTGAGGTTACACGGAAGACCCTACAGCAGGACGCACAGAAGTCTGAAATGGCTGAACTTTCTGTAGGGGAATCCTTGGGCCTGGGTCTGTGGTGGCTGAAAGGTGTGTCTTCCCCAAGTGTCGGGGGCTTGGACATGGTGGGTACCTCAGTTCAGGGCCTTATTTGGTTTGGGGAACAGCAGAACCTGTCCACATACATCGCTGGGGGAATGGGCACCTTCTGTGACAGATGAGGCTCCACGTAGGAAGCTAGCTGGAGGGAACGGGGCATCTGCTAACTGAAGATTCATTCTCTTTCTAGTTACTTCTTGGCAGAGAAGGCAGGTAGTAAGATTTAAGGAACAGCAGGTGGGCCATCTTCCCTCACAGTAGTTCTTTCCTGCTCCCACGGGTGTCTCAGATTCCACGAATTAGAGATCAATTTCTGTTACCAAGGAAAAACCTACAGAGAAGATTAAGGGAGTGGGCACTAGTTGCCACTCACCCCTTAGTAAGAATTAGTTTTCCAAAAGGTTTTAGCTTCATGTAGCTGAGATCCAATCACAGGGAGAATGGAATTTTGTATGTAAAGCATGAAGCCCTGGAGGGGAAGGCAGGGTGGACAGGACTTGCACAGCCAGTGGAGAGCAGGAGGACAATGGAAAACCTGGTTAGCAGTGGGACAAAAAGGTACCGGGACATAGGAGTGTATGTAAGGGGTGGGACAGGCGCGTTTCAAAGCTTAGCCCAGAGTAAGTTTCTTCTGCCTCTTCCTGTCTTCTAAAAGACACAGAACCTTTACAGCCAAGTGTAGGTGTCATTTATCTTGACACCCAAGCTGTGTCTGGAGAGATGAAGTGAGACGGGCAGGACAGGCCAACTGTGTGTCAGGATGTGTGCCTTTAGCCCCCCAAGGGTACAGCAGAGGCGTGCCCTCTGTTCCTCTCTCGTCAGCCCAACTCACAGGAACCTGGTTGGGGCCGGGGCATTGGGTTACTCCCTCTGACTGAGTCAGCTGGGAGTAGAACTCTGAAGTGACAGGTACATTTTCTTCATAGGAGACAGTTCAGTAGTTGGAGTCAGGGATGCTTCCCTTGTTTCCAAGGGCAAGAGAGGAAAAGAATTTGAGAGGCAGCAGCTCCATCACCGCTTCTGGGCTTCAGCATAGCAGGAGCAAAAAGCAAAGGTCAATGTAGAAATTCTAACCATTTAATTGTGTAGCAGGGTTACTGATGTCCAACAGGAAACCACACCCTATTGCATTTTCCATCTTCTGAACTTTAATTCCCACGAGCCTAATAAGCTCTTGCGTTCATTGGAGAATCCATTTGTTAGACTCATATGTGACCAATTATGACACCGGTAAAAACAAAAGAAAGTGAATATATTTAAAGGCCCTCTTTATTTATAAGACAGTTGCTGAGTTACATGAATTCTCTTCAGGGCCACAAATGAAAACATAGTTCAAAAGGGAAACATTTTGACAGTAAACAAAAATCACCACAAATCACCTATCTAGTAGCTGGCTTGCCTCTCCTCTATTTGAAAGCTGTTTCCATTTGAAACTAGTAAATATATGGAAAGGGCCTCTACTTTGTCCTCCAAAGCTCAAAACTTTTCATTAATGGGAGGCTGAGGTTACTAAACACACCAATCTACAATGTCCAAGAGGAAATTTGGGGCATTGTTAACTGAAGATTGAGCACTGCCCTGGAGAGTAAAAGGATCCCAAAGTGGCATTTAAAAGAGTCGCCTGAGTCTCCGTATATGGCAGCCACCATAGAACAAAAGGCGAAAGATGCATAGAAAAAAAGGCACCTTTCCTCGGTTTTTTCACATGGACAATATGGAGATGAGTGAAAGCCTTTGAAAGTGTCTTTTTGGAAGTAGTGAGAAATACAGGCAGATTCGCTGTCCAGATAGACTTGGCTGGCTGTGATAACACAGGCTCCTGTGAATGTTTCTATGCCCCCAAATTAAAAATGAACAGGGGTGGGAGTAGTTATTACCTCCTTTCCAAAGTCTCCCACTCCTACAATCAGTAAAATCGTGTGAAATCCTAGACCAGGGTAAAAACACAGTGCTGAGAATTTCAGGAGCCCGAGAGCCTGCAGGAACTCCATGCCTGAAGGAACTCAGTGGCAACTTGAGTGAGGACACGTGTGCCTGCGGGCACACACGTGGAATGTCAGGAGAGCGGTTCCAGCACCAGGTCCAGAGTCACCAGGGGAAGGCGGGTCCATGGTGACACTGTCTTTTAATATTCAATTCTGCTCCAGTAGAACATGGTACCCAGGAGAACCCAAAACTAGAACACAAACAAAAAAAAAAGGGAAAAATTAATAAGGAATTGGTTTAGGAACATCTCATACTAGGGAGAAAAATGATGTTAGGCTCATTCAGGCTTTGTGACGATGAATTTTTAAGGGTACTCTTGCCTAAATAACATCAGTCATTTCTATGTTAAACTAGCCCCCTTGAAAATTCTTCCTTCTTCCCGTCAGGGCTTAATACCCTCTACTGCATTCCTACTTCTGGTGTGTGTCATTTTGGAATATGAGTTTCTTGCTTCTAGTATGAACTCTTCCCAGGGGACTCTCTCTTTTCCCAAAAGTGCTTGTGATGAACAGCTGCCCTCCAGACACTCAAGGTATTTGCCTCAGGCCAGGGGTTAGAATATATGGGTTCTGTGGCAGATCTGCCAGTCACTCCCTGCATTTGCAAGGTAATATAATAACATCCTCACCGATCCCAGAATTAAAAGATTTAATGAGATAATGAAGTAATAATAATAGCGTCTAATGTTTATTGATAACTTACTATCTATCAGGCCTTGTTCTAATACTTACACATATAACTCAATTTAATGCTTTCAAAACCCTCTAGGAAACTGAGGCCCAGAGAAGAGAAGTAACGTACACAAGGTCATAGAACTAGTGGGCGGTGAAGCTGGGGGCCAAGCCCAGGAGGTTAGCTGCAGAGTTTATCCCTTTAACCACTATGAGAAAGCCCTCCATAGGCAGCAGTGAACTGGATGTGCCCAATATCTCTTCTTAAGCACAATTCTTAGGAACCCTGTTGAATTTCTCTATTCCTTGTAAGAAGGGAGTCTGGTCACCTATCCAGCGACTGTGGTGGGGATTTAGTGTTAAGAGTATTTGACATGGTGCCTTCCTTCTCTGTAGTAGGTCTTCAACAGTCCTAGTTCCCTTTCCTATTTTGAACTTCTAGAGGACTTACAAGATCCAGAGTCCAGACCATGTGGTGCTTATAGAAATATCAAAAATTTCAACTGGTCTGGAGTTCTAAGATTCTCAAAAGCCTTTAAATATTAGCCCATATAGTTTCTGCCAGCGTGACACAAAACCAACTTCACTGTTATCATTTTTCATTCACTCAACAGAGATTAAGTGTTGGCTGCGTGCTGTGCCGGGCACTGCTCGCCAGGCTCTGGGGAGGGACAAGCCCTCACAGAGCAATGGTTCCCAGCGGGAGGTGCGTGCGGGTTGTCTGGGGGGAGTCCTGGCAGGTGGATTGAGGGCTCATAGAAGCCTCTCAAAGGAGCTGATTTTCCCTTCCTGCCTGCCTCACTCAGTTGCTCACCCCCAACCCAACATTTATTTTATTTATTTAGTTATTGCATTTACTGAGGTGACATTGGTTAACAAAATTATGTAGGTTGCAGGTGCACAAAGCCCAACATTTCTTTGAGTGAGGGGTACAAACAAGTGGTGGCCCTTTTAGGGGTCTACAAGGAAAGGATATTTACATAACAGTATCAAGACTTTATTTGCCCTTTCTGCTCTGTTCACATTTGCACAGATGGTGCAAAGGCAGTGGAAGGAGAAACTGCTGGCGTCTCAACAAGATTCAAGGCAGAGGCACAAATCCTTCAGTGCTCTGTACTTGCAGGAGAACAAAGCGCCAGTTTTACTGACAGAAAGGAAGTGTGCCCAAAGCAGTTTTGTTGCAAATGGAAACAGGATGGTTGTCTTGAGGAAAAGCACTTGGGTATTTGAGTTGTGCACTGAACTGGTTATTTTTTCATGGAGCACCATTTTTACTTGAATAAAAATGACTAACAGATGAACTATGGTTATTTAGAGTTGGATGTTTGGCAGACATTTTCTTGAAAAGTAGTAAAGTGAGTCTGTCATTTGTTGCTGTGATAAATCTGAGCTTTCAAATCAAAATCATAAAACTTGTATTTGTCACCATGAATTTGCTAGCATCCCAATACTGAAATTCTCTTCCAATGTGGCAATATCAATGAATGTAATTTCTTGGTATTCCATGAGGAAATCAACCAACATGTTGGAAGATTACATGGCACAATGAATCAATATTTTTCCAAATAACCAATGCATGATGTTACAGAATTGTATGTGGGTAAAAGATTTATGCCAAGTGCAGGACAAACCAATATGATGTATTCTAATGTAACAGTCTGAAGTTCATTGACATAGTTTTAGAGTTCATATTGCAACTAACCCTTAAGAATATTACTTGTCATTTGTCTAATGCTGAAGAAGAATATTTATGCTTATCTTTAGGTAAGGCTATTGAAACATTCCTGTTGTTTTTTCAACTACTTATCTGTGTGAGGATGGATTTTCTTCAAATCCTTCAATCTAAGCAACATATTACAACAGACTGACTGAAAACCCGGATATGAGAATCCAGCTGTCTGCTTCTGCCACACATTGGAGAGGCTTTCAAAAATGTGAAACATTTCCCATTGCCCCTTTTCTCATTACCTTTTTGTGGTGGAAAACAGTCACTTTTTCTACAAAAATATCTTGCTAATGCTAACAGGCAATTATTTATTAGTAAGTATATTGAAATTTCTGTGTTACTTTTCAATAGCATAAATGTGGATAAAGATAGCTTCCATAGACAAAAGCTCTTTGAAGACCTTGATATTTTGAGAGAATAAAGGGGTTCTGAAGTTAAAAGTTTGGGACTGCTTTCCTAATGCAATAACTCTTAGTCCTGACAGGAAATTAGAATCATCCGGAAAAATTTTTAAAATGGGCTCTGCAAGAGGTTGGGGTGCGGGCACGCTTCGTTTTTTTCAAGCACCCCCCAGCCCCCAGAGGCTTTGATGCATAGCCAGAGCTGAGAACCACCGCTGCATCCTCTTGCTGCATGTGCATCCAAGTAACGTGGACGGGTGAGACTGGCTGAGGCAGCTCTTTGGAAGGAGATGAGAAAATTAGTGTCCGGCCAGAGCCATCTAGATAGATGGCAGTCTTGGATGGCTCACTATAATGAGCTAGCGAGGTTTGGAGAACTGGGGGAAGCAGGCAAGTGCATCCCAACCACCCAGAAGAAGGATCTACTTAACAGGGCGCATCCTTTCCCTGGCAGGGAACCTCCCAAGGGAATCTGCTGGCTTCACTCAGGTGCCAGCAGCTTCCTGAAGTTGTGTTTCCAGACAGTCTAGTGTGGTTGGGCTAAGCAGGAGCAATCTCAAGTTCTCTCCTTATTCTCATCTGTTCAGAAATAAAGCACATGCCAGGTAATACTCACAGTCCAGCAGAGAATGGCAAATCCAAACCAGGCAACCCCCCAGGCGTGCCGGTTCATTGGTCCAGAGATCAGTTCATAGCAGCCCTGGAGGAGGGGGCGATTCCACATCAGTGTGAGAGGACCCAGTAAGAGAGATGTAAGAGATGGAGGGGGAAGCAGACTGTTCAGTGAATTCAAGTCCAGGCTATTTCCACGTCCCTGTGCCAGTTATTAACAGTTATTGACAGTGCTTTGCCCAGGGAATAGAAATGATTCTGTCAGACTTTTCTGTATCACCTTTGTTTCTGTCTTTATCATTGAATGTAACTAACAAAGGTCTTGCTATTTTTTTGTAATCACTTTCGATTAAAGCTTTTTTTAAAAAGATGCTTCTATTTTAGCCTAACATTTTTTCATATTGAATATGTGAGTAATGTATTCTTAATAAAATTTGCATTTTTTCTTTTCCAAAATATGTTATTGCTCATTTCTTTGAGGGCAGAGTTACTTTTTGTTTGTTTTTGAATAAAAGTGCTTCTGGTCTAGAAAAACCAGAGGGTTTTTTTTTTAATCATTGAAGGGACCCCCCCCACCATGCTTTCTAAATTTTCATTTGATGTCATATTTCAACATATCTCTTCATTGGTTCTAGTGGGACTTCGAAGAGTCTCGGTGTGTGTGCAAAAGCTTGATTCATTTTTATCCATCAAATTATTCACTCATGCATGCCACAATCCAGCACATTTTTACACCGCATACTCTGTTCTAG